CACAGTCCATTCCTGGTCCTATTGCAGGGCCATCTAGCCGACCGATGTTCAGCGAAGAATCTTCCACCGATGACAAAGATATCGCACTAGCGCTAGCGTTATCCGAGTCAGAGGCGCGTCAGCGGGAGGATGACATTCTCGCTCAGGAAGAAGCAGATTTGATGAAGGCGTTGGAAGAATCACGTACCTTCGCCAACAGTTACAGCCAGATTGTGTCTGATAACATCTTCGACGGACATCAGGATTCTTCGGGTGAACCCTCGACATCTTTCATACCTGTTTCTCTAGAAAACGTCCACCTTAGCCCCCAGAAACATCAACAATTCCCAGAAGGCACAAGCTTTCTGCACATGATTACACCCTCCACATCCGAGAGTTCCTGCGACGAAAAATCTGTCTATCAGTCGGGCAAAGAAAGTCAAGAATCAATACAATCCGCAACTGATGCCACTATCTCGAGTCGAGAAAACTTCACTCTAACACTACCATCATATAACAATACTGTCTCGACCATTTTGAAACCGAACGATTTATCAATGAACACTGGCTGTGGTACTGCTGGAACATCCACCATGTCTTCTACATCCGTCGAGTTCTGTCGATCGAGCTCGAGTGATTACATTCGCCCCTTGCCGGGTCCAAACCCTGTATCTTCACATCCGATGTCATCGCCACAGCAGAATCTGAGCATGGAACCTCTTTTACCATCACCCAGACAGCCACTTCCACGCAAGCCGTCTGTCGCAAACTCCGAGAGTAGTTCTTTGAGTGGTCGATCTTCATCGAGTGAACAAATCCACTCGCTCTTCACCCCTGCAATGTCGGTCCAAACTGCATCAACGAGTCCACCTCTTTCCTTCAGCTTCCCATCTCACGCAGATATATTGGATTCAGTTGACGAAGACACTCAGGAGGAAGAGGGTGATGAGGGGACCGATTCTGTCGCTCGATCCCCGCCAATACTGACCGCCAACCAGTATGTTGAACCAGATATGTTGATGGGTGTCTGTAAGTATTGTCGTCGTGCGCTCTTCTCGTCTCATTGAAAAATTTACAGCAATGGGCTTTAAACCACCATCAATCTCCACAATATTGTCGCCTATGGGAGAGGCTATGCCCAATATTATAACATTACCATACGGGAAGGCACCAATATTTCATATTCAGTCACCCTCCTGGCGTCACCTGTTGAAGCTAATGGCGCGATTAAGTGGGACTCGCGTCGAGCCCACCATAGAAGCTCTTACCGTTGCAAAAGATGATGAGCTGAAGTTGAGAATCGTGATCCAGTTTGTCAAGGTAAGGATGACTGTCTAGCGGAGTACCAAAACTGACCGGTACTGCAGATTCATCACTCTGCTTCGGAATGGCGAACAGTTATCTATTTGACGACTGACATGCCAGTACCTCCATCAGTCACAAACTCGCATAAGTATACCAATGGCGATGTAACTGTACTTCCTTACTCTTATACTCTTTCACCACTACCGCAGCTCCTCCGTGATGGGGCTGATTCGCCAATGGCAAAATACTATGTGGTTCCCGCGACTTCCACCCCATACCCTACACTTCCAATCAACTTTCCCAACCTCGCAATGTACTTACAATCAGCTGTCCAGGCTTCCAGGAAGGCCGCTCACGATAGCTCCAGTGGCCTTCGGAGGCTTGCTCTTAATATCGACTCTTGCTATCCCAGAGACAACGGGAGGCCGATCAGTACAGACTTTTCTGATACCTCTCGAAGTCTGGGTGGGATGTTTAAACGCGTTATCAACCGCGGAAAAACTCCAAGAGGACGTGGAGGTAACGAAGAGATTTATGATCTAGTCACCCCGTTTGTGCCAGATGAATGGGGTTAACTTATTTGTGTTGTCCGTTTGCATGATCTCTTGCATTTTTTGGTATTTTCAAATACAATACAATTTTCGCATTGCACAATGTTCAAGGAATAGTTGTCCTTGTCCTAAATATAGTCACAATTTAGCCCTTGATGTAACATAACGGAATTTCATCTGTTTTCAATCCACGTCCCTTCGCTCAGATCTCACTCCCTGACTCCCGCGTATTAGAGTATTACGGCTAACGTTTATGGCAGTCCCAGAATCAACCGTGCCAGAGTTATCACAACCAATTCCACCATTAACTGCTGAAGAAGAAGGCATGAATCAATCATACTAAAAGCTGGATCCCTGTGTTAATAGACAAGCAACGCGCTTTTAACAGATGCTATCATACACACGCGTATTACCAACGACGAACGACCACTTCGGCGGGTGGTCAAGAAGTTTCACAACTACGCCTCCTTAGTACACCATCTCCTTGTGCCACCTAGTTCTTCTGGAACAGTCGAGGATGCACGGGAGGCATTCTTAATCGAGCTATCGTCCTTTGAACTAGCTCTTAAAAAGAGCATGATGGTATGCGAAGCCGAGCGGAGGCAAGTGGAGGAATATCAGCGGGAGCGGGAGAAGATTGGTGAGTGCATTGAGCTTCGCATGGAAGTGGACGCCTGAGGAATGAATACGCAGAGAAGGAACATGATGCTCTGCGTAGTCAAATTGAGGAGCTGAAAGTCGCACTGGAGCATGCACACATGGAACGCAAGCGAAAGGTCGAATACGACACAATTGCCGAGAAGATCAACACTCTCCCAAGTCGCGAGGAGCTTGAGCAGTGGGTCATGTTCAAAATGTTCTGGTATATTTCTCAATAACGTTCAGGGCGATACGGTCGCTTGAAAATGACATGGCTGCTATTAACGCGGAACACGAGACTCAGGATCGAATCATAAGGGGCCAGAAAACTGCTTTGGACAGTATCGTCATGGACTTAAGCTCTCTTCGCCTTATGGGCAAAGACAAAGAATCTGCTACATCAGGTTTGGGGACCCCGGCTGCTACGCCAGCCCCAGACGGCACAGAAGGCGATGACAATTTGCCTAACATGCGTGACAGCTCACAAATAGTGGATGAAGGATTGGATGAAGATGAGAAGGAGACGGGCGAGGTGGCTGAAGAGAAGGAAGATGGGGAGGATGACCAGTCCATTGGCACATCGCTCTCATCGAAACTCAATCCCGTTGTCAATGAATTCGCACCCAGTTCGCATACACCCTCGTCACTACGACCTCCAGAAGAAGATGACGACATAGAGATGGGAGAGGTTGCAGAAGATCCAAAGGTGAAGGCGAAAAAAGCCCGAGAAGAATTGGAGGAAGGAGAAGCAAGCGATGCAAGCAGCGCATTGTCTGACCCACCAGATGATTGAATGTACATTGCTACTTATTTCATGCGTGTTCCTGTGGTACACCCACGTCAAAACTCATAAAATCCCTCGCACATGTAATTTTCCCGCTATAATGCTCTTCAGCTAAACGTGCAATGCCCTCCGTAATTCTCTTTGCCGTTGGATCAACATCGTCGTTCCCCGGGTATCTGGCCGAGAAATGATTGAGTACTAAATGTCTCGCTCTGATCCGTGCCGCGAAAGCACCAGCCATCTGGGGAGTAGAATGCCCTCTGGATTTTGTGCGTGCCTCGACGCTCTCAAATGTGTCTTCAGCTTTGGTATGTGAGTCCAAGGCTGGCAAATGGGCATTCGTTGCCTCGTGTATCAGCAAGTCCGCAGATGAAGCCAATTCGGCTATTGGTGATGGATCATATGTGTCTCCAAGAATGACAAGTTTACGTCCGGGCCTCTTGAGAGGGCCTTGTAACACTGTGCCATCTGAGAGTTCGATGCTCTCTCCCTGTTGAAGGCGGCTCATAACGGACATCGGCGTATTGGTACGCTTAAGATGTGGTATGTACTTCGCAGGTTCCATTTTTCCGGGTATAGGTGCCTCTGTTACAACATAACCAACGCACGGCACGGAGTGTAAAATAGGAGCCGCAGAAACTGAAATAATGGTGTCGTGATACACGTCTGACCAAACACCGTTTGTTTGTAGAATGTTACGGCCGTTTGGAGATTCGGACGCATGAAGGGCTAGAGAGGTGTGGTCTCCATCTAGTGGGTCAAAAGGTAACCGCAATTCGTGAACGACGTAAGGCGCGCCTAGGAGGGTATGTGTATACTTGAGGCCATTGCGGACATATGCCCTGGTTCCAAAGGGCCCGTAAATTGCGATGGGCTGATGAAAGCCGCAATCAGTGGCAACATAATAGTGCGGCAAATGTACAAACATCCAATGAGTCCTGGACCATGTGTATACGAGGATCCTCTACTCCATCCGCTGTTCCTCCGGCACCGTTCAGCATACTTGCCAAGAGGGGCAGTAAACCAAAGATATGATCCCCTATCAGCCAGTGAACGTCAGCTGGGAAAGCAATGTTGAAATTAACAACCACATACCATGGGTATGAGTAATAAAGATCTTTTCAATCTTACCCATCTTCACTTTGGACCTTTGGACTTGGTGCTGCGTAGCTTCACCACAGTCGAACAACCAGACATCGCTATTCAATCGGAGAGCAAGTGCAGAATGGTTTCGGGTTAAGGACGGTTGTGCGGAAGCGGTTCCGAGGAACGTCAAGTTGAGCGATGAAAGCCCTCGTCGTGCCGTCATAGGTGTTATGTTATAACAGGCGAGAAAAAAAATCATTTTCTAGTGTTCAACTCGTTGGCAAAAACATGTCCCTGGCAGGAATTGAACCTGCGGCGCCACGGTATTGTGAGTTCCACAACGTGGCGATTTAACCACTAATCGACAGGGACTTGCTAAGAGTTGCCAAAGTAGTAATTATAACCTTACGGTGTGTTGCAGTGAGATCAGGGATAGTTGATTGCAGGACGATTTTGGATTACGTTAATTCGAGCTAACAATGTCACTCTAATAGACAACTGTGACATCCTGGTATATGAGTGACGATAAGCGGATTGGCACGCATTTTCAGACTGTACGTTTGCTAGATATGAGATGATCAGAATTACATGTGAGCGTGTAGAGATGATAACAATATACAAGCGAATGCTAAAAGATAAATAAGATAGTCCCTGAGCTAAGGGATAAGTCCGTGTGCCCGCAGCAATACACCCCATCTGGAAATGAAGCAGTTGGTTTGTGTCGAATGTTCCGAAGTAAAACGAATACGCACTCTTCTTTTTCAGATTCGACCTCAGCTAGCCTCCTTTTCAAATGTCTATAGGAAGCAAAATTCAGTCGAGGATCAATGGAACGGAAAACATGACACTTGCGAGTTCTCCTTTCTCAGTGCATTCTGCGATTCCTTCGACTCGCGAAGATCAGCCGTCATGTTAGTCCATGCTTCGTCATCCGGGAGATGTGCATCGTTATACATAGCATCTAGCTCTTCGTTGAACGCCTGGGATATTGATGAGCTCCTAGCATTTGATTATAATGCGTGATACAGACCTCGTACATGATCTCCTTCTCTGCTGTAGCATCTGCAAGAAGACTCTTCACAAGTTCGCATTGACGTTTCGTGTTCTGAAGTTCCACTCGAGCTTTCTCCAAGTCAGATAGTTTCTATGTGGAAAAGGTGAGTCGTGACTTCGAGAGATGTTGTCCTTTCGTACCTCCTTGAAATCAGACACCACTTGCGTAAGGTTCTGGTGCAATGTCTCATGGCTTGACAAAGCAGAAGCCAAGAGCTTGTCAGCATCAGCAACGGACTCGCTCAACAGGTTGACGTTCGATATACTCAGTGTTGCAGGTGGTGCAGGCGTAGATAGTTCTGTCACAAAACTTCGTGGTCGACTGAAAGGGGTACCCTCCTGCTGGCGTTTACTGATCAATTGTCTCATCTCGTCTAGTCGTTGCTGCGCTTCCCTGGTCTAGATCCACAAATATCAGTCGCAGCGTTAAATTTGTGAATAACGGTAGATTCACGTACGATGGGCTGGGGAATTGGCCGCTGTGGGGTGCGAGCAAGTGACTTATCAGGAGAAGAGCATCTCCGTGATTCGTCGAGACTCGCTATGTCATCACTAGCTCGAATCTCCTGTAGGTCCAATTTCATCCGTTTGATGACACGATGTGATGACTCAACCTGTATGTTGTCTATGAAGTCATTGACAAATTGACAGATGCGTTTTACGTACATCATCTTTGGTAGATAGGGAGAATCGCAATAGTTCGTCTGCATGGTCAACTTGGGGAGAATGAGCGTGGGCTACACGCGCGATTCGAATTTGAGGTGAAACTTTGCGTGGAGACACGATCCTCGCCGTGCTCTTGGACAGCGGGGAAATTCTCGTGTATGATTTACGGCTTGGAGTATATGTACTAGACCTGGTAGATGGCTTCTTTTTGATTGAGAGTGGCTCCACGCTGCCTGTTGTTGAGCTGGACTGTCTCGGCGTGGAATCCATATTATCAGTCGTAACGAATGGTTGACGTCTACTGCGTGGTAATGGAGAGGGAACATCATCCTCAATGGAAGATGAATCATCTTGGAAAGAGTCTATGTGGTCTTCCAACGCAATATGGGCTTCTAACGCAAGCTCATCATCCATGGATGGAAGATCGGGTGGAGTACTTGTCGGACTCTTCGGTGGCAATGGGGAGATGCTACGAGGACCAAATCGAGAACGAGGTCGCCGTGTTCCTGTGCCTGGAGATGTCGATGTGAGACGAGGAGTCGTCGATCGCTGACTTGCTGCTATTGAGGCTCGAGAAGTGGGACGTAAAGACCGAGGTGGATCATCTACATTGTATCGATGAGGCCAGCAAAATCCAATACCACATTTTGTCCTACCTTCATAGATAGTGTCTTCTCCTGGTCTATCCAACGAAGGCTTCGCGGCCTGCTTTCCGTGCTGGTTCTGGCTGTTGCGTCGCGCGAGTTCTAGACGCAGTGATAAATCTTGGTCAGATGGGTCCTGGCGAACTGGTAACTCTTCCTCTCCATCGCTATAGAATGATATTCCGGAACTGTCTCGTGACGGAGAGGTCTGCCGGGATAATGGAGAGGAACGACAAGTGCCCGGTGAACGACTTCTTTTGACCAATTTTTTGCGCGAACTCGAAGATTTGGTGGCATAGAGAGAGTCATCGTCTGCCAAAGAAGTTGGAGCAGTAGCCGTCGAATTGGATCGACGAGAGAACTTGGTCAAACTTCCGTCGCCTGTAGTTGTTGTTGTTTGGGTGTAGATAGATGAGCGACTAGTAGATGACTTCGACCGGCGATGACTATTAATGGAACCACTGAAGAAATCACCCTTGGAAGAACCTGGTATGGCGTTGAATAGATTTCTTGAGATCACGTCCAGGCTAAATATATGTGCCCGAGACCTTGAGCTCGCAGTTGGGGTAGCAGGACGGGAGTCATTGCTAGTTTTAAACTTGAACAGGCCGTATTGATGGACTATACAATCCTCAATCATCACAAAAGGAAAGCAAGATTTAGGTACGGACTTGTTTGGACAATGCGACCTGGTATCCTTGCAGTTTGAACAATGTCTTCCTCCGACTCGTCAGACGGATCGCTGGAGGTAACTGTATATCGCGAGATCTCCCCCGCCATAGGTTGTATTCTGACTACCACATATGGAGGTCCGTTTATTCCAAATGGAATGGGGTCCGCGGTCCCCAACGTGTCTATATGCATGACGATCTTTGTCTGCACGCGTCCGCAATGTAAATAGAATGGTCAGCGCACAAAAATGAAACGCACCTTTTTGGGTTCTTGCAAAAAGGCTGTTCGTTGGTATACATTGAAGTAGGTGCGAGCCATAGTAACCCTTCCTCCTCTCGACTCTACTTCACGCTCATCAGCGCATAAGACAACTGATTGTCCTGACTTAGTCCTGTATTTCGCCTGCGCATTCCATAAATTCTCGAGGAACCGGTCCTTCTCGCTGGTAGTCCGAGTAGGGTCGAGGTTTGCTGGCGCAGGAGGGAAGACAACAGAAAGACAACGGAATGAGCGACCGGACCAACGATCACTTTGGTCTTGAGGTGGATTCTCGATATACACGTGAAAGTCTGAAAGAATGACAAAAACTGAAGGTAGCAATCATATGATAACTCACCAGCACCACCGACGTCAGCAGCAACGATGTCGGGTAAATCAATGACACCTTTGCAACTTAAGCCACTTTTCTTCATGCGCAGTGGTAAACCGCCAGTCTTCGCAAGTCTATCAAGGTCGTCCAAGCCAGCTAACGAACGTCCACTTTTCTCGCCATTACCAGGTCGCTTGACGATCATCAACTTGTCATCGAAAAGAAATAGCGTACAATGTAGCACGTTGAGAGCGAGGCTAGAGACGGAGGTAGATGCAGATGCAAGGCCATCTTGCACAATATCATCGACATCAATGCAATCGATGAACCGTCGTGAAATTGAAATCAAGCCAGGAGGAAAACCATCCACTGTTGCGTTGAGGCAATGCATAATTGCTGCTCGCTTGGTTTGTTCGTCTGTTTCTGCAAGAGCGATCTTGCTAGCGATATCATCGGCTTCCATCAATTTGGTGCGCTGTGGATCTCCGGATGCCATATACTTCATCATAGTGCGAAAGAGTAACGTATATCGCGGAATCCGCTGAACAGGATCCATGAGTAGCTCGCGCAGACCAACACGATTCCTGGCATCGGTATTCGAATACTTGATCCGCTAGAAGCAAATAGTCTAGTTAGCACCCCCAAAAGGGTCGGATCAACACTTACGTCAATGTATGCGGCGAAACCAGACGATTTCTTCATCATCTCGCGTTCAAATATTGACTGGGCTTCCTCTCGCTTGACGTAGTACTGTTTATAGTACTCGAACCCTCGTAGATCTTTGAAATGTCGTAGGGCAACATCCCCGACACCCCCAACTGTTTCAGGACCATCAGGTGCAACCATCTTCTCGAGATCCAGTAGGAACGCCTCATTAACTGGGAGTAAATTGTCGATATTGCCGAATAATGTTTTAGCCTCATACGCAGGCAAGATTGCGGTGTTCTTGTTGCGGGAAAATTGTCGAAGCGGGTCTGCATAGTCGTTCTTCAGTATTTGAAGTCTCTTGACGTACGATCGTTCAGTATTGACGAGTTCGTTAACCACGTCAGTTAGAGCCGTCGAATCTGTAAGCGCACGTTTACGCTGCAAACCGTCCTAAGACATGAAGGATACCACATCTGAGTATGAGCAAGCGAAGCGTCTCGCCTTTGTAGACAAAGGTTAGCATGTACCACTCACGGGCTGGTGGTGTTCTGAGAACGATGTGTCTGTTGCGGAAGGCAGAATGTGGCTATCATTCTGACTCAACCAGGGGTCTCCTAGAGATAGAACCAGATCTTGGACATCTACACCAATCAGATTGTGCTCTTCAGGAGTCGTCAGTACCGCTCACCTTCGGGCAACCTTCTGCCACTATCACAACCCTCAACCACGACCCCGCAATAGAAGACCCGTCTGGTCAGAGATGGAGCGGAAGGTTTACGAGGTGTCTCATCCCCACGTGCTAATGGAATCTGCTTACGAGGAGAGCTGTTTAAATCCATAGATTAAAGATATTCATGAAGAGATGATTAAAAGACACAAGGCTCAAGTAAACGAACATAGCACTAAGCGAACAATGCGGCGCGTCCACACGTGACTGACTAGGTTTGATCACGTGCACGCGTCACAACAAGTTTTAAAACTGGTTCGACCGGCTCTAAAGCTTTAAAGGGTCAAAAACACCTGTATTCCTACGTGTACAGTATGTCGTGATATATGACGACCATAATGACATGGGACAATGAAAAGAATGAAATAAAGGGGATTGTATGAACTGATGCTGGTAAAAAATAAGATATGCGACGATGAATAGTAGTACAATAATGAAGTCAGTCAATTATGGTATGTAGCCCGAGGGTGTGGTTCTATGATCATGAATTCTGCATAACAGTATCCGGTACCATGGGGGTGAGTCGTGATAAAAACGAAAGATTGCGACGCATGCGCACAGTGCGTGGAGTAAATCCTCCCTCCTGGCTACCTGCCAGTGGGGATGATGAAAGTGAAGCTGCAGTAGTCGAGCGGCGGCGGAGACTGGGCGACCCAAACAACGTCCTCAATCGCACTGGAGTTGACACTACAACCCCGAAATCTCCAGCAGACGAATCAGGGGCAGAATGTGGAAACTGACTTAAGCACATCAAATCAGGTTGTGACATCGGACGATCCGCGGACGCCAAAGAAGGGTGGAAGTTTGGAAGTGGATTACTGAGAGACTTGGTCGATGCATCTGAAGGAAGTTCCTCGAGTGGGACATCGGGCGCACTTTGTACCCTTCTTCGAAGCGTCCCTTTCGACCACCACTTGAGTAGGCTTGGTGTAGTCGATACACTCCCCGAATCAGATGGTTGATATGACAGAGGAAGCATTGGCGATGTAGAGCGCGAGAAGAGGACTCGGACATTCTCGACCATAGAGCGGCTTCGTTTGGGCGTGAAGGCTTCCTTCCGGGCTGTAGGGTCTGATCGAGGAGCCACACCTGACAGCACCGAGGTGGGTGCAGATAGTGACCCAGGGACGATAGGACTCCCTGGAGTAGAAACGGACACAGAAGAACACTGTGACATAGGGGAAGGCGACTCTGGGGTACCATCCAGTTTCACTTCGTCGTCCAGAGACGCAGTCCTTGAAACGGCAACGAGCTTGAGTTTCGTTTGTTGGCGGCGTTTGGCCAGCTTGACTGGTGGGATGGTAGGTACAGCAGGGATGTCGCCAACATCTATGTAACTCTTTCGTCTGGGGACAAGCACACTCTCCCGCTTGGTCAGACGATTCTTTGCAGCCACACTCATAGCACCAGCCATAGTCAATCCTGAGCTTGACCTTGAGAACGACCGCGACACCTTCGATGCTTCAAATAGTTCTTCTTCATGGGTATGCGCATAGCAGCGAGCGGAGAGACAGCTCTCCGAGAACACGTCAAGGAGTCCACGATCGACCTGTTCACGTGCGGGGGCAGTGGCGCGTACAAGATGAATTGTATCTGACTCTGACAGCATGGTAAGATAAGTCCTATTGGATGTGGTGGATGAGCGACGGCTAGGACCGAGCTGATGACCAGAGTCAGATTTCTGAGATGGGTCGGTTTTGTAGGAGGCCCGACCCGACCTCGGTGGATCGGAATGGGCAGAGAATGAGTGGTTCTCGTCTCTGCTAGATGCTGCTTCATTATCCAGCTCGGGAATAGACTGGATTGTGGGCAAAGGGCTGATCACTTCGTATGGCGTATCTTCTAGCAGTGACAACACGAAATCCCCTTTAGAATCACCTCTAAAACTGCATATCGGTTCACTCGTCCATGCAGCAGGAAGTTCGAGCGCATGATGAATAGCAGCCTTCCAGACATCCTTCTCACGGCGACAAGACGCTGCGAACTCGAAAATGTGACCTCGCCCAGAAAGGCGAAACCAACTCGGTAATAGGGCTAGCGAAGGTGGTATTAAACGTTGTGTGTTCATAAGTCGAAACCTGCATACCTTCGTCGTTCGTCGAGTCGACTAGGTCAAACCCCGCCAAGGAAAACCAGTGTTTCGGCTCGTACGTCCTCACTTTATGAACTTTGGCAAGAACAATGTAACCCCCAGGGTACAAGAAAGCCCCGAGATACTTGGCTTTGACTGTGCCGTTGCTACTGGCATTGAGACTGGGGTAGTGGATTACATCCAATGATCCCGCGAGATGACAAGGGCCTAGAGATGACAGGAAACCGAAAGAAAGATTGTGCGATGCAGGTCTAGTGTAAGATGCCGTTACTAGGGCTAGTCCCTGCGATATCCGCGAGGCAATGAGGGAGGACTTGATTGCTAAATCCTGCTGGCGGCGTGCTTCATCCACGGAGCTGGCTACGGCCCGCATGACATTCAGCGCACTTTGCACCGAATTCCTCTCCACATCACGGGATCCGCTTTCCGCGTTAGACACGGAGCTTGACTCGCCGCTGCCGCTTGCACTTCGTGGATGATCTTGGAGTTGATCGAGGAGTAAGGGATAACGGCAGATACGTTGAACAGGTTTGATGAGGTAATCCATGAATGCGAGCTTCGACTTCATGCCAGTTTGCCCCCGATCTGAGTGCCCACTTTCAGACGTACTGATTATAGATGCCTTGAGGTTGGCGTTAGAGCTGACGCGGGAAATACTCTGCCGACAACTAGGCGCGTCCAATGATGAAAGCGAATGCCGTCGCCTTCTTGCGATTAACTCGTTTTCACTGAGAGTACCGTCTGCGCCATCGTCATCTTCAGCTTCTTTGTCGGTGATAGAGTGAAGCGAGCCATTGATGCGCATTTCAGCAGCTATGGTGGCACATGATTGCTCGAACGTCTCCCATTCGGCTGGGAACTCCTGTTGGACTTTTCGGACAAGGTCGAATGCTTCAGGATGTCCGGAGCAGAACGATTGGTACAAATGAAATTCATGTGCCTAAAGGAGACTCAGTACTGTGGGACACGAAGCATCGCATACCACCTACCCGTTCAATGAATTTTGTGGCAACTGCATCAAGTGCCAAGTGTAATGTCTCCAAATTGCGGGTATATTCCTTCTGCATGATCGTCACGCCGCCACTAGCCCCATCGAGAATCATTGGAAAGCCGAGAGGGGAAACGAGTGCCCTTAGTTCACAAACTAATTGTTCATGAAACTTCAGAATGTCCTCCATATTACGAGTTATCAAGCCAAGGTCAGCGGGGGAGAATACGCGCCGCATTGGAGACTTTTCCTTCGTTACAGCAACCAGCGCTGGCGGGCCACTGACAACAAGGGGGACGTTTTCGCAGGGAGAGAATGGCACGGGGGCCGACAGGTGGTAAACAGATTGCGTGCGGGTAGCGGGGTTCGATGAAGGTGGGTTGAAGGCAGGAGAGGCGGAACGGGAGAAATGGGACATCCCAAGGCTAGAAGAGGGGGGATGTGGTGGACGAGTCGTCAGACCGGGCAGAAGCCTAAGGTACACCTGATGAAACGTGCGACGATCAAAATCTCGAGAATTGGCCAATCCGGATCGATCGACTCACTGTAACAAGAACCTTAAGATCAAAAAGGTATCCGACTTCCGTGGAGAGCAACTCCAAGAGTGCATGACATTTTCTCACGTCATCCTTGCTTCCTCTAAGATCATCATCCTTTCCCTGAAGCGGATGATCGGCAGCTTCCGAGCTTGACTCCTCCCCTTCAGGTGGATTCTTATGACGGCCATTCAACTTCTTGAGCTTGCCGTCATCCTCCTTATCTGAATCATCCTGCGGCATGTGGAACAATGGTTTCTTCTGAAATGCTGCTGATTTGCCGTTTCGATGTGATCGTTCTTCACTGTGTTCACCGATACTCACACGTAACGGACTTCCGGACGATCTTGTCCCTTGCTTGGCGGGGTTGTCACGTAGAGGTGTCAGTGACAAAGGCGGTGCGGCGGGAGGAATGATGGGTAAGGGTTTCACAGCAGATATTGGAGGAAGTGACGCTCGACGCTTCACAGTCAGCTCCGGGGACTGTTCAGATATGCTGGCAAACGTAGGGTCCGGGAAAGAGGCGGAGGCGGTCACGAAAGACGAATGTGGTCGCAAGGACACAGAAGTTGAAGATATGTGGGCATATTTTGGAGGTGGTGTTGGAGGTGTGGCCATCCAAGTCGGGGTTGGAATAGTCATATCTACGTCTGCAGCAGACTCGCTGTGTGCAATTTTTCTGTCCCTTTCATCATCCATGTCGGAGTTCAGGCTAAAGGTGATGTTGGTTGTCATGCTCGTCGCGGGGGTGCTCAACGGAGATGCGATGATGGGTGTGAGAGGAACAAACTGCTGAGAAAACCGTGGTGACGGCCGAGTAGAACGAGACACGGCTGTGGAGGAAATCTCGCGTATGGAAGATGTATCAACTGAAAAGGACATCAGATGCTCAGAAGTGAAAACAGTCGCGTTCGCTGTCCGGCGTTCCAGCAAGGAGATGGGTGATGAAGAGGTACGCGGTCGCGGGCGTCGAGAGGTCGTGCGCGTCCGAGATGAGGGAACTAAATGCGCTACGGGAGAGCCATTCTCCATTCGTCAAAAGGGTCTGTGAGAGTACATAAGAATGTGTAAGAAATTACGCCAAAGAGAAAGCCCTGAGTGTTGAACACAGGTGACAGACCTTAGGGAGCCTCTTGGCTGCCCGCCAGACACAACTCAGTGAGTAGGTTCGAGACGACCTGCAGCGACTGAGCTGCTAAGTGAAAGCGAATTTGGCAATTAATTGCAATGGTTGTAGAGGGTGACGCGACCCTGACGAGCATATACCTGCCCAACGACTGACACTTTTGGTCAGGATCGTTGCCCTGTTAGTGAGCACTGCGAGGGATTCGGAATGAAGAATGAAAGACGATTAATGGGGCGTTACGAACGAAAGTAGTGGAGATGATGCAATTATTAGTTGGAGATGATGTAGGCCAAATACTAATGGGTGTATATGTATAAAAAGACCGATACGTCAGAGAGCTCTCCAAAATCCATAAGCGGAGATTAAACTTTATTTGCGGTCCGCGACAACCAGACGCGTACGTCCACGTGCATTGATTTCTGAATTCGCAAGTAGTCTTTTAGAGCGATGCTGTGCGATATGTATAAATATAATATGTAGAATGTCAAACTACAGCACTAGAAGTTGGTTGGCAACCGAACTAGAAATCTATCTGGTCCATATCATTACTATCCTCCCACCTTGGATGCAAAGAGCGCGCACGAATCTCAGGGGAAGGGTTCGAATTGATTCAGATTAATCACTGGCACCCATGATCGGATGATGCGACATGAGGCCGTCCCCGGCGGCACTCACTCGTTAGCAACAACGAGCGGGTACCCGGTAGGTTTTCACTTGGCTGGGAGAACGGTGCGTGCGGTGTTTCAGTGTTTTCCCAACCAATTACGAATTTGGGATGCTGAAGAAGACAAAACGTGGGTGGAAGAACACCGGTTAGTGAAGTTTAGCGACCGCAGTAATGAAATTCGGGCCAGCACTTGATGCCAGATGCTGACGAGTGACTGAGGCACTGCATCTTATAATTAGATTGCCGAGTCTACCAGCATCATATCTGCAGCAGTATTCTTCTTCGGGTTGATAACCACACAACGCTTGGCCATGTGGTAATTTGTCAGGCGCCACCACTAGTGGAGCTACAATTTCGTTTCCGCAGTGACTTTCGTCCACGTCGACTTCAGTCTAGGTCTTACGTCTATACCACGTCGGGTTGTACACCTAAACACCCTCGGATTACAGTAGAGCTCCATTCTCGTTTCCGCAGTGACTTATCTCCGCGCGCTACTAGTAAGAATTCAGGTGTACCGGCCCCCCTAAGATTCAGAAGAACAGAAGAACCACGTTGACTGCAACGCAATTGGCGTTATCATTATAGAAATAGTGTCAAGGCATAGTAGAAGCGCAACAGCACGTCAAGTATGATACCACGTGAACTATGCGAGGTGAGTAAGTCGTCGACACGTTGAATAAAATGGACACATAAGGTATGGTAGCGCAACCCTGAAGTTTGAAGCCCTGAAGATCGACTGCCAGTTCACAACGTTCCCCCCTAATACAGATCCATGCTATCATCCGATCGGGGCACAAATGGGATGTTCTGAGCCTCCGCTTGTTCGCGTCTCAGTTTCTCCTTGTCGAGGAACTTGCGCAGCGCCGCTATATTCGGACCACTAAAGGCACGAAAAACCGACTTCTGATCGGGGTCCAAATCCTGGGGTTGGCACGCTGATAAGAATCTACGTCATAGATACCAGTGATCTGGGACATACCGTAGGAGGCGGGTCAGAAAACCGCCCGACACCGGTCCGCCTTGCACCAGGTACACCAGTCGCAGTAAGGTGCACAAGGCGATTGCAAGTTCGGACTAGGTGATGTAACGATTTGAGTGTGATGCGGTCGCAGTATGAAAGGTGCAATCGCTCCAATGAAGGGGTATGGTCCGCAAGGAAATAGACAGCGTTGTCGGTTAGCTTTGGTACACGCACAAGAACAAGGCGGTGAATCTGTTCTAGGCTAGCTAATTCAAATACAGCCATATCAGTTAACTGTCGGCAGACTATAGTTCCGCGTCAGCATGCAATACGCTTGGACGCTCAACAAGATCAAGACTTACATGCCAAGTCAACAGATCGAAGCTCGGTACATGATCGCGCCAAGGACACAATACCATTGTCGGTGATTCGTGGGCAATGTGCAAGGGTAAGGTTGCCGAGGTGAAGGCCAAGTTTGGATATGCTTTCAACAGCCTTGTCAGTAAGGTTAGGACACCCGGCCAATGCAAGTGACCGGAGCAATGGAGCATGTGCCACGATGCCTTCGACACCCGCATCGGTCAGCTTCGGGCAGTGACTCAGATCTAGCACACGAAGATCGATTGCGGTATGTCGTAGGATTAGGGATGGAAGCTGATCAAGCCAGGTATGAGGACGAGCTGGTAACGGCTTCTCCCCGGAAGGCTGAGGAGTGAGGGTTTTGATCGGCGAAGGCAGCGCACTATCGGTTAACTGAGAAGAGCGCGCCAACGTCAAAGTGCGAAGTTTTCTAGAATATGACCAAATGTCGCGAACAGACACAGCCGTCATGAGCGGCTGGTCGTTCAGCTCCAATTCCACAAGCTTCGGGAAGGTCTTAGCGATTGCTGAGACTGAAGCATCAGTGAGTACTACCCCGCTGAGCTGCAGCCACTGCAAAGGAGGTGTTTTCGCGACCAGTTCCATGATGCTCACGTCAGTGACGTACTTGCACCCAGTAAGGTCAAGACCTTGTATATTGCAGTTTTCACGTGCAAGATGGACAATAGTCTTGTCAGACGTGTCTGTCACCCCAGAGAGCACTACCGACTCCAAATGACGACAGAAAATCATCTCTGGGGTAACCCATTCGTCACTTACCCCGCAATTGGGGTCACGAATAACCAAGTGGCGAACGATTCGGCGCTCTGATTCTGATTGGGGGAGCCGATCGACGATCCTCTTCATGTCCTCGACATCTGGGCTATTCATAATGCGTTTGAGATAGCGATAGAAGAGTTTGAGATGTACACGCGCGGAAGGAGGGTTCTAACAAGCAGGATGCTAGTGGAGCGCCAGCATAGCCATGAAAACCTCTGTCGTTGTCTTTTGTCGCGAGCTGTGTGATAATTGTTTGGGCCACCGGGGGCGTCTACTTGTCCATACCCGGCCGACACAAACTTCCACAACTCCACATCTGGAACGCAGGCTTCGGCATTACCCGACTTGGAAAACTACGGGATTGAGCAATGACCTCCACCAGCTCGCGGAGCTCCTCGACCATTACGGCGACGAGGCTGTCAAATCAGCCACCACTACAGCCGCCACCACCTAATCCATCTAGTCGATTCCCAGTCACACCAGCTGTATTGCGCTCCATATTCACATCGTCGCGTACGCCCCACGAGGAGAGGTCCATATCTCGTGTCGCATTTTTCAGGTAAAGACGTTCATCAATTTTTGCTGTGCTTGTATTGAGCGAGCTTGCAAGGTTCGCCGGCTTTCTGCTCAGTTGCGTGTGCATCAGCTTTGCTGCTGCGAGAGGAAGGGGGATGAGAGGAAGTGCCGGTCTTCTAGGAGTTGTTTGACCGACAAAATATCAATGTAAAGTCTCAAGTTTGTCAAAAGTTGGCTCGAAGTCAGAACTTGTTGAGAAGCATTATGGTAACAATAACTGTATGTTGGTGTTTATAACTATAGCAATAAAATCAAGCATCCGAATCGTCGGTTGACCCATCAGCATCTCTATCTTGGCTATCAGATGCACCTTCTTGTGCACCACTTGGCCCCGCGTCTCCAGGCTCTGGGTCCGCCGGCTCATCAATGTTTGCTGCGCTGATGACTTTTCGTTTACGTGCTGCCGAAGCGGGAGGAAGGTGAGCTTTCTTGACTCGAAGGATATCCATGATTTCTACAGGTAAGATAAGCAACAATCACTTGGTAGTCCTTGAAGAACGAACCTTGGTGGGTCATATCTTCGTACCCCTTGATTCCTCTCTTCATCGTCAACCAGCGTCGTTGGAGTGAGTGAGCACTCCATAGATTCCAATCTGAATCAGGCAGCGTCTTCCAGTCGATCTCAGTATCGTCCCTAACGTTCATGGAGTCGACCCTGTCAACACAAATAAGCATATAGAAACCGGCAGCAGACTACCGCCATACTTATGGACCAATATATAGGCATCTTGAGCGCTCCAACGTGGCTTTTGCCCTTCATTTTTGACAGTTTTACTCAGCGAATCTGTCCTGCAAGAAAGGTCAAATTTATACATATCGCATATCAAAGGCGCTGACCATTTGATTCGACATTGTTGTCTGCCGCGCCTATTCCCCATTCTATCGCTCACTTTGCCCCAGAAGACATCGTTATCAAAATCCTTGCCCTGTTGGATCGTCATCTCCGTGACAATTGCCGTCAACTCCTGCTCTTCTTCCTTTGTCCACGCCCCCGTCACCCGGACTTCACGATTGGCGATGTGATTGCGATAACGGTCACGACAATCGGAGGACATTCGACCTACAATCTCACTGACTTTTTCCCATTGTTGACCTAGGTCCGCAACAGCTCTGATAGCCAGCATATGAAATGTTAATGAATGAAGAGGGCGGAAATGACATACTGTTTCAGCACTGCATCTTCTTCGGGCATCCATTTGCCTTGCTGCTTCTTGGGATGGAATGCCCTACGAACGTGGTGATAAACGGCAATAATAGGGCGTAGAGCGAGAGCGGAAGCTAATCGAGATCTTAACATTAGACCGACATTTCATAGAGTAGAAGGAAACCCACTAATTTCCGACCAAAACGCATTGTCTTTGCCTTTCTCGTTCTTTTGGAAAATAATGTCCTGGAGCTGATCGTCTGTAAGACCTCGACCCTGTCATCTGCAATGTTGAGTATTCGTGTCGACAAGTATCATGAATAGCGCACCGCTTTAAAAGCTTCGATAGCGGCTCGAAGTTGTTCCTCTTCGATTGCGGAAAATTTGCCCTTCTTGTAAACGAGACCTATTGTAAAGAATTAGCGATGGTTCACGACCTCTGGAAATCAATTGCCTTGTGTTTTAACCATCTCGGCCAGTTTTGTTGCGTTCATCCACTTGTTAGCTAACATGTGAGCATGATCTGGATTGCCATGTTCGGGCCCCGGAAGGCTCATGTCCAAAACACGTTTGTGGGTCGTCTTGGTCGACTTGGGAGCAGTATTCAGGATTGCTCCCGATGTAGAAGGTGGTTGTCCCATCGGTTGAGGTGGGGGTTGTGGATGCATGTTAGAATGACTAGAAAGATGCGGGATAAACCCTGGAGGAACACCAAGAGGTACATTGGCTGCTGCAGCGGCATCACCCAATGTCTTCAATACCCCGGCAAGTTTGGACATGTCCAGCTCTTGCAATGCACGAAGAATCTCGTCATTTGACGCCAATTGGACGTCGGGGAACCCCAAGTTGGGAAGAAGATTTGCAGAGTGCGATGAAGACTGACCGTAAGGATGTGCTGGAGGAGGAAAGGGAAAATTTATGGGAGGATACGTCATGTAAGGAGGTGACGGGTGATTATGCTGTAGATTCGGCATAATATGATGATCCTGGTAAGAAGAATGTGCCTGGTACGGTGAAACATCCAAGTGCTGCGAGTCTGCTGTGGCGGATGCAGCAGCAACGACAGCATTCAGAAAATCAACTGAGCTCGTTGGATGGATCTCTGGTGCATCTTCCACCAACTGAGGACTGAGAGTGTCAACAGTGTTCTGTACGACCTCCTTGGCCTTCCCTTTCTCGGTCTTCTTTTTATTCTTTTTATCCTTCACCATCTCGACACTTTGCTCATTGACTTGCACGGTTGATGCATTCACATCGTCAGTACAAATTTTCTTTCGCTTCTGCCTCTTCTGGGAGCCGTCTACTGAGACTCCACCGGTTGAATCGTTACGAACGCGTTTCTTTTTCGACTGGTTGTCCTGGGATTGCGTAAATGCATTATTGACTTCGCCGACGGCCTGTTGCAGCGCTCGCTGAATATCGGATGAAAGGCTCGGGGTTTGATGAATCTGGGTAGCCATGCTTTAGGTGCTTTAGGGTGGGCCGACGAGATGGATGAGGGCAAGCAAAAAGATTCAGCATCCGGAGCTCTGGTCCTACTGGAGCAGCATCCCGGCGGGACGATACCGAGAATCTACTAAATATATCTGATGTCCGTCAATCATCGTCAAACCACCGCTCTTCTGCATTTCTATCATCATCTACATCAAGCCACTCATCCCAGTCAACTGAATCATAATCTGCTCCCTGACAAGAAATTCGCTCGAGTTGGCTTTTCATGCAAAGCGACAAGACTCACTTCAAGCAAGCCATATATGAATCGTTCCCTTATGCGTCTTTCAAACAACGCCTGAGCCTCTTGTGGAGATTCAGGCTCTTGAATTTCAGGATACTCTGAATCGTCTTCGTCTTCACTGTCACTTTCCTCTTCCGGGACAAAATCATCGTTCGCCTGCGTTCTCTGGATATATCGTACTCTCTCTGCTTCCCGTTCCTCCTCCATGTCGCCGAGTAGCTTGGCCAGGTTGCCCACCTGTTGTTCTGAACCACCTAGGAAATTCATTTTTGCCCATTCCTGCTCCTCCTTCCCTTCTTCTTGTCCTCGTCGTTCTCTGCCCTGCCACAGTGTTGGCCAGGTATTTCGGGCAACTGCGAAGCTCAGAGACCGTGGCCTTGATTCAGTAAATTTCAGTCTTCGATTACGTATCTCAGTAATCGTTGTTCGTTGTTTTGGTGTTGTGACGAGTGAGAATCGCTGTATGATGTTGGGAGGTAGCTCATGTAAATGTCTTTTCAAAAACTCGATGGGATCGACACTTGGAAGAGGATTGTAGTCCTGGGGAAGGGTGAGATAAGATAAAATGTCAGAATCTTGAAAACCGGATTGCATGTTAACGTCAGGGATAGCTTGAGCTACTTACACAGACGTTTACGTCCGTTTAGTGTCAATACAGCGAGTGGAAGCTTCTGAATTAAACAGAGATAAACAACTTCACATCTTAAAGCTTAACCTGCTGCCCATTTGTGAACTCATAAATATTGCACGATCTATTCGCATAGCTTAGGTTTGCAATGATTCAATCAGATTCACTTCATCCACAACCTTCTCCACCACGAACATTCTTCTGTTGTTGGGACTGGTGTAGACTCACCTTTTCAACCGTTGACGAGCTTGCTTCTCATGTCAGGCATGATCATATCTGGCAACTTCAACCCATGAGCAAAAAGGAAATTGTGCGCATGAGAAAGCAGGATGCAGCGGAGGCTCAAAGCATGACCGAGTCATCGGGCAGCTCAGTGCCAGTGCCCCTTTCCAACGGTGCGTCTCCCTGATGTCATTTACCTGTCCTGAGATACGCGTATTTTGCGTGTTTTTCAACAACCAACTTATAAATTTTGCCTTTCTGTACATAGGTAGAACACATTTGTCAAGTGCCAATTCTACGGATCAAGGCTCGTCGGGCTCTCAGCCATTCGCCTCATCGCAAGCACCTCCATCGCGAATTCTGAGCGCAACCTCTTTAACGCCTCCTACCTCCCATCAATCATCTTCGTTTCTCCCGCCGGAAAAAACACCGCCACTGCCTGCAGTGCACAGGGTCAATTCGCATAAACCCTCTGCTGCTCTGCAGGCCGCTCCTGCGAGAGGACGCGATTTCCCATCTTTTGCTCAGTTGTCATCACCAGCTGACACCTCATCTATCCCGTCTCTTCCGCAATCACCAGACATCAGCACGCTCTCATTCCGCCCTAATATTGCAGCTCAAATCGACTCCTTTGATCGGCGACACAGTAGACTCAGCGAGATTGCTCAGGCACTTAATATGTCTTTGCATCGTTCTCGCACTGATTCATCAAGCTCATCGCAAGATGCAGTAGAGCGACAGCTCCTACGGGAGGATGCAGCGGATGTTAGTATCCAGAGCATCCAAGCACCAGAGACGGTTCACAACGGTGCAGCATTGTCCACCCCCGACGATCCAGCCACCATCGTTACGGGCATGGTTGTGGACGTGGCTGACGCTGATCTCCAGTGGCCTGAATCTGAACCTGAACACACTCCCGCTAACCGGCCTAGGCAGCTCTCTCCGCCGGTCGAGATGGAGGACGTTGAGGGCATAGAATATCGCAGCTCTCCCGTTGTGACCCGAAATGATAAAGCAAGACACTTCCGTTCTGGCACGCTCCATATTTCGCCATTGCCCAAAGACACTGTACCAAAATCAGCATTTGGGCCTTTCCAATTGTCGCAAGACTCTCAAATGACTTCCAATTTGAGCCTTTCGCAGAACTCAACACAATCCCATTCCCTAGTGCTTCAGACACAAGCACCATACCAGAGCCAGTCATACGAGCTTTCACAAAGTTGAGGTGTATTGGGTGGTTTTGTGAATATCCTCCTAGATCAAATCTAGATCATCTAGTGCTCGTTTTAGTTTGGACTTGTTGCAAGTGTATCATCTTTGTATAACCAATTTTTACAATCTAAGCGCTTGAGCACAGATAATGGTAGCTCAAAATTGTGTCCACCATGTGCATGAAGGGCTGTGGCGTTGCAGTCTCATTTTATACAGCACTGTATCTGCGCTCCTATACTAGAAATCGTCCATGCTGTTCCAGGGGCTGCCCCAAGGTGGTGATTAGAACGTTAAGATGAGTGGTGAGTCATAAACGCTCTTCGTTCCCGTTCCGGTCTCGACGCTGATCGCGTGTCAGGTATACGACACGAGTATTCTTGAGCAACCCTGTTCGATGGCATCACGGAGTATCCGACGGTACTCGACATGAGATGTCCATCATGTTTTACATAACAGCGTGGATTGACAAAGACAACGTGACCTCACTTCATTTCACCTCGCATCCGCGAGTCTACAAATGCACCAGACATTTTGGGGTACAACTCAACGCCCTTATTATTGCTGCTTGATGTGCAATACCTCTGTGAGTCCGGTGTTCCGCATTCGGAGGTCTTGCACTATCACATCTTACGCTAGACCAACGCTAGACATGGAGATACCCCTCTATCCAACTATAAGCCGTATCAGATGTCTATGGTCCCTATCAATTGTTGCTTCGGTGTTTCGAACTTTAAGTGTGACACGTTCTTGATATTCTGCATTTAGATGCTTTCACATTCTAGTCATGGAAAGAAGCATACAAAAAGATCGTTCTTGGATTCATGATGGAACATCTAATCGTCCCCCATCCCAGGAACTTCATCCAAACTATAAACGCGTCTCTGCCATGGGTGCTTTGGATAACACGTACGTATACCCCTTACGAGTACATAACTTATTGTCCATATTTAGAGCGCTCTCGATTGGGGTTGCGGTCCCTGCAATATAAGGGTTCTTTGTCGAATAGTCTGTCTATTGAAACTCTCAGGTTGCAGGCTCTACGGAGGCATGCTCTCGTGCTGTTTGTTCCCCGCCAGAAGCTCACAATCACAAAGTCACTTGCAATGTGTGCAGACCTGCCAGGACTTACTACTTTACCTGATATTCTTCGGATTCGTGGGCGCATCAAGTTTTTAGTAGCTTTACGTAGGATGCCTGATATGTGCTGCTCATCTGACGTTAAAGTTTCCTTTAGGTTGGCGCTGGATGTCAGATTCTATGCATCAAGTTCTGATTACGCACGCAGGTGAGCGCCAGACACCCCCTGTATGTTTGCGGTCTTGACTCCAGATGAAAGCCTATGCATGCTCCATCACCGATTTCGACATCATTACTAACCTCGGACGTGTGTAGCCCAGTTATGGGTTGCATGACGGTGGCTCATGGTTTCCGTCTAAGGGTTCATTTGCATTACAGGTCGAAATTCTGTTCGATGGCTTCACAGCGCTCATGATCATTCAAAGGGCTTTCTAAATCGATCCATCCGTATTGATCGCCCATACAGCTTCTATCGCTCCCATGCATGTCTATATATCTATATGTGGTTTCCGCCAGTGAACGGTTGCCGATTTCCACGCAGTAAGTAACGAGAGCATGATTGTACCTATGTCCGTCCTGTCTCTTGTCATATTGCTGAATTTGTCAGTGAGTATGCGCCCCCCTTCAATATCAATATCAGTCAACTAATATGTGATAAAGCTTACGCTGCAAGAGCGTTAGTCACGTCCAAAACATCAGGCAGCTCGGGTAATGCATCTACCCCTTTAGCATCAAGTTGACGGTCTTCATGACACCCAAGGGGCGTTAATGTCTGTAAATGCTGTTGCAGATGCCGGAGATGTCCTTATCGCTGCCTACCTCTGCACGTTCTTCCAAAATTTTCGCACTGGTTTCCGGAGGCCTGATACCGTGCCAGATAAGCTGATCCCTCTTACCATCAGTAATGGTCTGCTCATCAGCGTTTGTGCGTCCTTCATTTCTGTATGTAACACATTATAAGTGGCTCGGTGTTGTGATCCTGATCTAGTCGTCATACAGATTTCAGTATGGCCCGATACCTTCATCTACATTGCCGCATTGCCTTCTATGTCTGTCTGGGTCGTCGTAAGTATAATCAAAAATAAATATTCCGTTCACGAGATTGGAATGGTCATTTTGAGTTTACCAGTGCTACTCCTTGCTGGTAACCCTTAATATTTGCACGTAAGGGTCTTCGCAGTCATTTTCGCGACGACAATATGCTGCTTTCGCTACAGGGAATCAATCATGTCACTGGCAGTCCACAGAGGGCGAGTGCCGCGATTTTTTTTTGGTACGAGCGCGTTGCTCGTGTACGATTTGCGGATCATAACAACATTTCGATCAAGCTTGATGCCATGCGGCAGTTCGCTCCAAATGAGGTCGGTTTCTCTCTCGTCTGCTGATCTGCATTGTATCACAGAATTCATCTGCACTGGATCTTTTGAAGCTCTGAGGAGCTCGTTATCATGCAGGAGATTGAGAACGCCCACTCAATATATTTATAGGTCTGTGCGAAACAAACATTCCAGTCTGCAGTATTTTCATTCACGGTCGATTGTGAAAGGTAAAAACCTTCATACTGGACTCAAGTCGTGGTCGACTGAGTTCAATGCATTCGTGACTCAGCGCTCAGCGCTCAGCCCTCGAGTCACCGGTTTACACATACAATGCCCCTCTCCGTTTGGGTATCTGACTCGAGGTTCGTTCTTCGGCTTGCACATACGAAGCTCTTTGTTTGGCCCATGACGAAGTTCATCACCACTTAGTATAACTTGCCCCTGAGTCACAAAACACCTCGATTTGAACTATCTACCCTGTCATTTTACTCCCTGTAGTACATTCTGTTCGATTGTCTCCATCTCATCTTCAATCTCTCGAGCCTTCTCTCAGATTAGTTTTTTCTATCTCATTCCTGCCACTGGGCTTGCTGTAGTATGAGGCACCTGCACCTGCCAGTTCGATCATCGAATACTCAGATACAGACTTCATCTAGCGAATGTTAACACAACGTTGGAGTCCGGACCAGAGTATCTCCCTCTCACTAACTTTGCTTAAGCTTGTTGGGATCGGCATAAATGAGTCCGAGCGCAGTCGTCATTAGTCTATACAGGTACATACGGACCCGGTAAACTTGTATTAGCGTCACGGTAACGTAGTATGTGATACGACAATATCTAGACTGAGATCTATGTGAGTGTTCATTAACAGTAACCATCCATATACTAGACAATTACTTTACTGACCCATTATTAGTTACATTTCTAGCTAGGTACATGGTTATTCTATTACGACACGAATTCAATAGGCTGAGATTTACATTCCCATCTATCGCCATTCGCTCGCTACCCGTTCATCTCATAATTAACCACTAAAAAGCCAACTATAGTATACACTTGGTATACTCAATCATTCGCAAGCATGAGCTCGGGAGATTCGCCGTCAGAAGACAAGAGCGCAGATACTAATCTGACAGTAATCAAACAGCTTCCTACTGACCTCCTTCTCATCGTCTTCATTCATGGGTTAGTGTAAACATTGCAAGTCGGAATGCACCCCGATTAACAACGCGTAGATTCAAGGGAACTGACACGACATTCAAGAACTTCCCCTCGAGGCTAGAGCATGTCCTGACAGAAGTCATAGAGAACCTCAAAGTGGAATGTATAGTGTTCCCCGCATACGAGGTTAGGGCATTCTCTGCATGTTGCCGCTTAGGCTGCTAACTACGAGACGTGTAGACCAAAGGACAATTGGTGCGCAATGATCACCTCAACTTTGCACGCAGATGAAGACTCCCCTTCAGAACGCCGCGGTAGAACACTTTGCTGACTGGCTAACTACTCTGACCGTACAAAGAGAAGTCGCGGGTGGTCAAGGGGGTGGAGCCGGGAAAACTAGAGTTGTACTATGTGGCCATAGGTGAGCAGGAATTCAAGCATGATGGTTGTAACATGATTGATTAAAGTCATTCAGCATGGGAGGGTTACTCGCTGCTGACGCTCTACTTGCGTTTGTGAATTCCAGACCTGATAAAAACGCTCCACTGTGGCCGAATATAATTGCGTGCATAGCATTCGACACTCCCGTGAGTTGGTTAACTGTCAACTGATGTTTTCTTACTGCCGCTAAACTTTTGAAGTACCTTGGTCTTCACCCCACTGTATTCAAGAATAGTGCAACCAAGGCTGTGGAATACGCCGGTGCAGCCCGCACTGTTGTTTCAGATGTGTTCTCATTGTTTGGCAAGAAAGGAGCATCATCAACCGTCTATGGGCAACCCCCTCTTGCAATAGCAGCGGCCCCAACTGAGGAAAGTGGTTGGGCAAAGTGGGCACCTGCAGCGTATGCTGTTGGTGGAGCGCTAGTGGCTGGCGCAGCCGCTGGGACAGCATACTACCGCCGAGACGACATTGGTTCTGGATACAGCTGGGCTACTGATCACATGAATTACGTTCGCAACCTCTGGGATGAGGAAGCTTTGCGAAAACGTATGCGAGATTTGGTTGATGTACAAGTACATCTTGGGGTCACATTCCGCTCGTACGTCCACCAGAGCGAGAATCACTGGGTGCCTTGACTTTTAGTTCATTCCAGATTTTACACCCTACTTCCACCAGCTCCACCTTCATTCTCGTCGCCGAGGACGTTCGTCATCCTTCCTCAGCGAACATCTCCTATAGCTGCGCATTTCCTTCCCGCAAGAAATCATCAGGCTGCAGATGAAGTTCAAGCGCATACCAATATGTTCAATCCAAGATTTAACGATGGCTACTACCAGTTAGGGCTCGATACGGCAAAAATCATTCGGGAAGCTGTCATGTCAGCTAGAGGGATTATTGAGAGTGACGATACTGAAGCTCAGAAGGATGTTGAAGCAGCAGCTGCAATGGAAGAGACGCTGCCTGATCAAGGGGGGAGCGACGCAAAACCGTAGCCAACAAGAGCGACAGTAATTCGTTAAGTGTCAAATATATAGCTGTAAACTATCAGTCTACCCCACAATTTCCTTCGCATTAGTGCTCGAACGTGAGCTGCATCGCATATGCGTCTTCTCCGTCGGCATCTAGAGAACACGCGATCAAATGACTAGACGACAAGGCGGTCCAGGGACTTACAGTACTTTTCCTCGATATTCTTGACGGTAAACCCAAGTGTGTCGCGATACAGACTTAGTGCTGCACGATTCGACTTGCGGACGTGGAGAGACACGAATGCCGCGCGGTAGATGCTGCTCATCGCTTCCTCTGAAATAAAAGAACATGTCAATGGTTGTTCTAGCCTGTACAAAGAGCGAATTTACGTGATTGGAGCATCAATTTTTTAGCCAGACCAAGTCGGCGGTATGATCTCATGACAGATATCGAGGTGACATGACCATGAGGAACATGATTAATTGCAGATTGGCCTTCTTGCTCATCAACTTCCTCCCTGCGATTCAATTAGAATACAGTTCAGCTGCGAAAACGTTTGACACACATTTTTGCCAGAATATAACCAACAATCCGTCCATTGTGGTCCTCCGCCACATACGAAAGCGAAGGCCAGGATAATGCGTGATATAGATCTGGTCGCGAATTTTGTCAATCTCTGATCTGAAGAAATGAGGCGAAAGAAGCGAACAGTATTTCATCGTATAGTTCTCGGGCAGGTTGTGCAGGTTGCAGTCTTGCATACCTGCAAGATCTTCGACCTGGTGAAAATGAGCAGCTTATGCGTCTTAGCAGGTTGCCAGCTTACCCTAACTGCACGAATATTCATATTGGAACTTAGAATGTGCTTGCCTCAGCTTCCCGACAGCGTAGCAGGGTAGAGCAGGTCTCGACAACCCTGCTTGTGCGAGTGCCAGTAGTTGAGTGTGACTTAGTTCAGATCGTGAGAGCTAACTAGTAACTACCCACACCTCTTTACCCAGGAACAACTCTGATTGCCTCTATATAAACACTATAAGTACCATAAAACCTACACGACAGCACTAGTGGTAAACGATACAGGCAAAAGAACAACAACAATAACTGGCGTAATGGTTATAAATATTCCGAGTTTTGAGGTTACAACAAAAAAAGGTTGCGCAATGTGTTTGGGGGAAGAACATGTGTAATGTCCATGCTTGCTATGAACTTGTGGGTCTACTTACTGCGGACACGGACGTTGGGCTATTCAGCACTCATTTAGCGAGGCTGACCGCCATTCCCAGCTGCATCACCGGTGCTATTTACATTTCCTGGGGCCCAAGGGTTTGGGACACTTGACTCAGGGACCTGCCCATTCGAAGTCGACCCGCGGCCGAAGAAAAAATGCTCAGCAGCGTGGAAGGTGTTTCGAAAGCTTCTCCTGACACTCCTGCCTCTTCCTTCAGTGTCACGGGGGTCTGTCGGAGGGCTGAGAGCAGCCTGAACAGATGCTTGTAACTCTTGGCTGTTGTGCGACGGGACGTCGTACAAGGGCTCAGTGCGCATGGGTGGCCATGGCACGAGGCGGTCGGAAGATCCGGTAGAAGGGGTAGGATAGTAGTTGTTAGTCATCTTTGCTTGTTCCATCATTAAAGTATGACGTTCGGGGTTCTGCCCGTGGCGAAAATCAAAATTCGCAGAGTGCATCACTTGGGTGATGCCCTGGGCCGAAGGCCCTGCAGCGGCATTGAATGACGCCGTTGACGTAAAACTGTGTCTTGCCAACTGATGAGGTGGTGGACCGATGTGGTCGATATTATCATGTTCTGCGCCCCGGCCATGACCTATCTCTGCAAAGTTGTAATCGGGCGTTAGAGCGCCATTACTTCTACCAGAAGATGATGATGGCTCTTGGTATGTGCGGAAAAAACCTGCTCCGTTCGATTGTGTGCCAGTACTGCGATTGGATGCAACGTCACTCTGAGGGGGGGAAGTGGAAATCTCAATGACGGGCTGGTAACCAAAGCGAGGACGTCTCATAACGGGATTGGACGGCTCCGCCGCGGGTTGCGGATTAAGAGCATATGGCGCAGGCGCCGATTGATTGTTAGCAGAGAGCACGGCTGGAGATGACGCAATGGAGACATGTCCTGGTCGCAAGGTCATATCACGCTGCATTGTAAGCTCGGGGTGCTGCGAGACAGGAGTGATGATTTCTGGGTGATGGTGCATGCGGAGGGTGGAGGAAGCTGGCTGAGGCGTATGGTGGAAGTTATATCTTCTATCGTGCATAAAATCTTCGTCAACATCACCATCCATTCCACCCTCCATATCAGCATCCATAGCACCTTCAACAAATCCTTCGTCAAAGTCGTCGTCGTACTCCGTTTCATCATCGTCAGCGTTCATATCTTCCGTGATCGTATTGAATAAGTCCGTCAAGAAGCTTCTCAGTTTAGAAACGCCGCTGCCCGAGTAGACACAAAAAGCCATCCTTTGGCTCATATTGAACTCCTAAAGGATTATCAACAACTGATTAGGCATGAGCATCTGCGCCACTGACCTGTGGAGGTTGACGACAGAACTGCTGCAGTTCGGGTTTTCTGAAAGAAGGGATACCCGTCAAGCTCAGATGAGTGAGCTTGTGGAGCTTTTGCAGTAGGAAGTGAACAGCCATGACCGATATTTGATCACAGTAGGAAAGATGAATGCGTTCTAGAGTGCTGTATCGCTCAGCAAGAGCGTATATTGCCTCGTCTGTCAGATTGCTGACGCGCACAAGACCAATTCTTCTGAGCTTGGGTAAGCTGGAGAGCTCGAAGACGGACATGTCAGTGAGAAGAACACAGTCTGTTGTATGGAATTAAATTATATTGGACTGCGAAGGAGAAGAGGACGTACTTGCAAAGTCAACGTAACGCAAGCGGGTGCAGCACCGTGCAAGTGTCTTAATCGAGCGGTCCGTGATGTTGGCTGCATGTCCGAGATGCAAATAGTGCAGATGCTTGCCGAGAACACAAATATTCTCTACAGTCCTATCCGTCAATTGGATGCATTTTGAGAGAACGAGGTTCCGAATTTTCGAGGCATGGGAAATAATCCCGTCTACAGCATCATCCGTGATAAGGGCGCAGCCGGTCAGATCGAGCATACGAAGATGGTCCAAGGGCCTTGGGATCATCAAAGGTGGAAGCCCATCATCCTGGCTCAGGGGGGCAGCTGGGAAAGGGTTATTCCGCGGGGTCACCTGAGGCTTGACTGGCGCCGGGAAGGCGGCATCGGTGAGCTCGACGCACTGGGACAACCTCATTTCACGCATATGCGTAGAGTAGGTCCATATGTCGCGGATAGAGATGTCTGTAATGCGTTTGCAATTATTCAAGTCAATCTCCAAAAGGAGGGGGCAAGACTTGGCAAGAGCTGAAACAGGACCGTCCGTGACTTGATCAACGCCACTGAGTTTGACGCGACGGAGAAGGGGACAGCTGGAAGCTAGGGCATACACGCCAGCGTCGGTAACCTGTCTACATCCTGCGAGATTGATGCCTTGTAGGCGCCTGGCGGCTGATGCCAGGCCAATGATGATTTGATCAGAAGTTTCAATGACTCCTGAGAGATCAATAGCGACCAGGTTTGGGAGGCAAGGTAGTACGCGAAGAAGGGCATCTTCGGAGATAGAGTTGCAATTCACGAGTGTCAAGCGTTCCAGGTGGTCGCACTGCGCTAAGCGGCAGAACAGGGCGTCGGTGAGGTCGGCACCGAGGAAGAGGAAGTTGAGACGGCGAATGAATCGACTATAAGTAAAAGTCTGGTCGCCTCGGCTAAGTACCCTCATCATTTTCACGAGGGTGGAAAGTCTTGTGAAGGCAGGGCGGTGCCACAGAAGCTCGACGGAGCATTCGCACCAAGAGCGCGAAACTAATAATGAATGATAGAGATCTCTGGGAGTGTGTAAGTGTTTGAGGATATGAATGAGGACCTCTGGGGGAACTTGGGACATGGGAGAGTGTGATGAATGGATTGCTCCATCTGCGGAGTGATGTAGGTGAGAAGCCCATTGAGCGGGTGATACAACAGAGGAAACTGGACCACCAAAAAACAAAGATTTGTTTATATCATCATCATCATTCTCTGAAAGAGAAGTAGTAGACTGTGACGGCGAATTCAAGCGGTAAAATACCCTTGAAGTCCTAGCGGATGGCATACCTGGGCTCGTAACTGAGGAGGCAAGTCTCAGGCAGTCCGAGCCCGGTAGCCTTTGCTGACGAGTTATATGGGAATTAATTTCTAATTTTGTATTATGACTAATTTTAGTACTTTGTATATACGCGTAAAGTCCTTGTGTTGAATGCATGCCTAAGCAGCCTGGCCTAGCCGACCAAGGACTTGTCGCTCTTTCATGATACCCAACAAGCTAGACAAATTTGTCTCTAATACCACTAACCTACAACGCCCAGCTCCCCCTGTTCCCCCCAATTCCCGTTTTTTCAAAATTGCGGGAAAATTCAATTCCCGTGATGCCCGTAGTCGCCCAAAGGATACTCCACTGCCATCCCCAAACAAATCAACCAGCTCATCTCTAATATCCAACCCTGAATTTCCCCCTTCTGGTCCAGCTCATTACGCCGCCCGTCGGGCTCTCTGGCTCACTCCTACCAAAGTCCATCGCCGCTCTCCTCCATCCTCGTCTCGTCAGAGATTAGAGCAGCTTCTTAGTGAGCCAGGTGCCGTCAATAATGAACAAGCTTGGAAGAATGGAATTGAGAAGGTCTGGAAGGGTCTTGTAAATGGTGGTCGTTTGAAACGTAGCCTTCCCCTAACTCTCGTAGTAAGTTCCGCCTCATCTCAAAATTATCTGTTACCATCTTACTTCTACTTTCTTGTGTGTCCAAGATTAAAGTCATCCATGCTGGTTGGCTCAGAGACCCTGATACTTGGCCTTCTGGCGCAGTAGCTCCAGATTCAGATCAGGATCTTGCAGCAGACCAGCCTGGACCTTCACCTCCGATTGCCATGAACCTTAACCCTCCCAATACTGCCTCTCAAGGAGTGCTAACTGAGGTCAATGAAATCAACCCTTCCGGACTTGTAATAGCTACAACCTAGGTGTAGGAGTATTGTATCTTGGAATGAATCGTTTCATGTATTACGCCCTCTTCGATCAGAACTATGTATTAAATGCATTTTTACTTCTTACCATCCAATTATTACAAGGACATGTGTGCGACGCTTTGGAGATACAAGGGAATTGCTGCCGAAACATATACTGGCAGAGAAAGTACTGATCTACGATGCCTACAACGTCCTGAGATATTCAAGTCCGCGATGGTGGTGACACCTGCCGTCTAGTCAGTTACTAGTCAAGAGTTTTCTATAAAATTCGCATACCAGGATAACGCCATCTCCCCGAACGAACAACATCTCCATTTTTCTCTTGGCCACCTACAAAGTCATAACTAATGCCTCGTTGCTCAGCATCAAGCTTGAAGACTTACTTTGACGGTTCCTTGTCCATCCATACCTCCTTCGATGGGGTCTACGATCATGATGGTCTCTTCAACATCACTCAGAATAAGGTTCATATGACCATCGTAAGCCTGTAAACCAAAATAATTCAATACGTGCGAGCTGATGAAATATACCGAGTCGACGCACATGAAGTACGCCAGTCAACTCGCGATCTCCCCTTAATTTCACGAAAACACGTTCGCTGAGGGATAATCTGATGAGGTCGAAAGGCTCCTGGATGCCCGACGATGAAGGATCCATTGAAGTGTAGGTGAGATGAGGTAAGCAGTAAATTATCTTTCGAACTCAGACAGCTTGTACATACCCAACTCCTTCTTTCACCAACAACAGTACTAGTAGTGACCCAGCCATGCCTGTACGTTGTATCATTCTATCTTGTGCAATAACTACTAATGGCAGTGTAGAAACACTATTGTGACTACTGTGATGTTTTTCTCACTCACGACTCTGCTTCAGGTGAGTTACTTTATTGCTAATAACTAGATTTCGGTTCTGAAGCATCACGTAGTGCGCAAAGCTCATAACAGCGGAAGAAATCACCTAGCAAATGTCCGAGACTACTATGCATGTGAGCGAGCATCGCGTTCGCACACTGACAGGTTATTGAGGCATGATTTCAGCGCTTGGCCATGACAAAGCACAGAGTATCATCGATCAGATCACTGCAGCGTACGAGAGCGGAGGCGGCCCTCCTCCGGGAGGGTTTGGGTTTGGCCCTCATCACCTAGGCGCACCCCCACCACCGTTTCCAGGTCCTCCCATGGGCTTCGGTGGTCCTCCCGGAGCATTCCCGCGTGGGTATCTGACCCAATTGTCCTCTTACCCCGAAACTGAATTTCTTTGCAGCTCGTCCGCCTTTCCCCCCAGGACCCTTCCCGCCCCCGGGCATGATGGGACCACCTGGTACCATACCACCTTTCCCTCCTAGTGATGGTATGCCCCCTCCCGCAGCAATGGGTCCTCCTGGCGGTTTCCCAGGCGGTAAGTCCATCTCTTCGCATCATTAAAAGTTTGGGATTAAGCAAACAAAATACTAGGTTCTCCTCCATTCCCTCCAAATGGCCCCAATGGTGGCGGACCTGGTGGCAGCATGCCACCCTTCCCGCCACATGGTAACTTTGGGCCACCGGGCGGTAGCCCACCCCCACCAAACCAAAATGATCCCAATGCGGGACCAGGCGGTATGCATCCTGACAGACTGAGAATGATGGCTGGCAGGTAATCGCCGTCTATTGGGCATCAATTCTGCGGTGGGTTGTGTGTTTCCTAGTATATTTCTACAAGGTAAAATATAACTCTCTTTCCTTCCTCCGTGTCTTATCAAATGTCTTCATTTTTGGTTGTGTCGGTTTACTCGTTGTATACCTTGATTAACATAATCATGGAGCAGAAGGTTTTGTGACACAATTTTGAGACCACATGTATCTTACCCGTGTGCTTCGTGCCGTCTACCTTCTGGTGAACAAAGCAAGAACAATTGGAGGTTCCCCAGCTCGTTCAGTAGCAGCTTACTACAGAGTTGGTCTATCTAGCTACGACTCAGGTCCTGCTCTACTGTGTCAAAATTTCTGAGTTCCATACGTTAGCGCTCGTTCTACCACTGGCGCGCCGTAAGAAATTGCCTTGCTTTCCTTTTATAGAAAAACAATTCTTGCAGTAAGACCGTCAAGTCTACAAACTGTTCTGAAATCATGGCAGTCTCAGCGTCCGACATACGCAGCGCCTTATCTTTACCAAGCTCTTCAACACCAGTTCATTCCACTACACCAGCTCCTCGAAAATCTCAAGGGCAGGTCACGAAGAAACCTGAGGGCATTTCTCGAGAGCTCTATGCACTTATTGGACCCTCCGCACCTTCTCTTGTAGCTCATTTGGCTAAACCACGCCTGAAGCAGAAGCCAAATTTCGGGTCAGGTGGAAAGGTGAAGTGGTAAGTCTCCTGTTACACTCCCTACGCGTGCCCATTAACATGGCGCATGTAGGGAATGGAGACCATTTAGGAATGCTGGACGCACCGATTCATTGCAGCTGGGACATTGGGTCAAGGCAGGTGACGATCCAGATGCAGGTGTGGGCCATCTGACCAACACTATATAAATACTAAAATTTGGACGGACAGAATACTCCTTTACAAAGTATAATGTGCAATCTCAATCATATACCTACTCACAAGAGGAATACATTCGTTTCCTCGAAGGCATGTTATTTTCTCGATATTCCTGCACCACTTACCTTCTTTACAGATAAGGATTGGACGAAGGAGGAGACTGATAATCTATTCAACGTCGTGCGAGAGTACGATACACGGTGGTATGTGGTACATGACCGCTATGAGCCTCCACCAGACGGCCCCACACGCTCTCTTGAAGTAAAGCATGACAGCCTTTGCAGTTGCACGGCACTGACTTTCACCAGGATCTCAAGGACCGATACTACAGCGTTTGCCGAAAACTCATTCGGAATAGACCTTGGGCAGGCGATGAGGCGAGTAAAGCTCAGCTTCTCAACAGTTATCAGTTTGACAAAGGTCCGTGATTACTATGATTCCGTGGCGAGGGATCTAATAGCACTTATGTTTCAGACCGCGAGAGAATGCGGAAAGACTACATCGCCAGCCTCGAAGACCGTACGCCCGAGGAAATTGCCGAGGAAGAAGCCCTGTTCATCGAATTGAAACGGTTGGAACAAAATGAACGCAAATTCAAGAAAGAGCGCGATGAACTTCTCCGGACGTTGCTTGGTATTGACTCCGGACTACCTGACATAGTCGCTGAAGAAGACGGGCTTTCTGCCCTATCTGCGGAAGGATTCAAAAAGAGAAAGAAGAATGCAAATGAGATTGATTTACCTTCCACACCGTCAAATATCATTTCTCTAGGCCCTCCGCCGCCAAAGAGGCCTCATTCAGCGAAGTCAGTAGCGTATGGTACGTCGTTCAATACGAGATGCCAAGCGCGAAGTTCATTGTCCTGCTTTAGATGCGCAACATTGCATTGTCAGGGTTGAACCTCCCGCGTCATCGACAACGAAAATCACTCATACCCCTGTGCACCTTCGCTCGTTCAAGCTTCCCGCACCGAAGGCAGCGCTATTACCCAAGGTTACCCAGACTCTTACTGAGCTGGGCATCAACCATACACGCTTGGTCATGCCTACCCGTGAAAACTGTGCACGACTAGAGTCGCTCATCGAAGCGACTACTGCTTTGATTGACACGAAGAAGGTCGTAGATCGTGTAGAACAAGATATTCGAGTGTTGCGAATAAGACTTGGGAGGGCAAGTGAAGGCGCAGAGGAAGATGGCAAGGAAGGAACACCGATGGAAGTTGACGGAGGCGCGGGTGCGGGAGCGGACATTGATGCTGATGCTGACGCCGATGCCGATGCCGAGGGTGAGATTGATGGTAGAGCACAAAGTATACTGAGCATACGAAGCGGTCGAGGGCGCAAACAGGTTCGTTGCTTTTCTCAAATATCATCGAGGCCTATCTAAATCTCGGGCTCAGTCACGCCGATCGATGTCAGTGTCGTCCATCGGCACTTCAGCATCCACGCGAGTTGGTAAGAGACAAAAGCGTAGCTGACGATGTGCACATGCTATGTCGTTACATGATAAAAAACCAATTCGTGTTTGCTTGTAGAGAGAAAAATAAATTTGATATAAACCCTCCGAATCTCATTCCATAGATCGAGCACCATCAGAAGCGCCGTATTTTCACGTCTGTGTGAACCGCAACACGAAATTGACGATGATAGCAACTGTGGGGGAATCAGGTTATATCAAAACTCGTGGAATTAAAACTAGACTGACTGAGGAGTGCGGAGCATAGAATGGTCTGGTTTTAAATCGTTTAGCTAGACGATACAAAGGTTGGCCGAGAACTTACGGGTCCAAGTCGGTCGTCGTAAGGTCCGCGCCCTCCCTTGCGGATAGAAGCAGCCCTCCAATGATATATATACAGCGCATATATCATGACTGCCATGGCTTCAACCAGGCAATGAAAATCGTGCAACCGAAATGTTTAGTACAATATGTGTACTCACCAACGACAGAGAACATTGCTGCACTAATCCTCCCAACCTATGTCGGTCAAACGGTTAGAACAAGCCCGATAACAGAAAGCAGCTAGGTAATGCACCTTGTCACCGAAGTTCAGCAGCCCCACCGCAAGACCACCAAGGACAACCGTGAAGTGGAGCCATGATAAGAAGGTGCGCTCGTTAGCGAATGAGACCTTTGGTTCTACGCGCACCGGGAGTGCGATGCGCTTTGAAGCTGTGCGCTGAAGTAGAGGCTGGGTCGACATCAAGCTGGTTGAGTGGTTGGGATGAGTCGATGGGTGAAATCAAAATCCTTACATAGGCTGTACGAAGGGGGTTGAAAACTTTGTTACCATAATGGGAAGCGTAATCTCATCGTAAGCATCGTGGACTCGCTTAGCGATGAAGTAGTACTACTACCGTGACATATACCGTTGAGCGCTGGGGCCCGGGGTATCACTCATGCTTTTTCTGCCGGACTCTTGTGGACGTTTTCCGGTAGGGGCGACTACCTTCAAACTTCCCGTATCCACGAAAGTGCTGGGCACTGCGAAGATACGCAGTCACAGTGACGGCGGACCTTCCGTGAAACCTGCTTTACAACTCGATGAAGTCGTATTCACTGCCTATTATCCTGCGGACATAAAGGGCAGAAATATTAAGAAAGGCCTGGACTGGCTTCTTCGGTTAGTATCGGAGTTACGCTGCCAGCGAGTCAAGCTCACGTTTCTAGTCCGCTGCAAGCATCTCTACATGGGTATGCACATTATTCAGGCAGGTCTTATGGCTTACATTGTATACGATAATGTGATTGAACGCCTTTCCAGGGATTTCCACCTGGTTTTTATGGCCTATCGTGTATCTTTACGGTCGCCTGTTGAAAGTGCGCATGTTAGTAACAGAGCTAAATACCATGGCTAACCCAGGCCGCGCTATTAGATCCCAGTCTATCCAAATGCACCTCTTTTGAGGCAGTGCCACACTGCATCTCCAGAGCATACTCAGGCTAGATCTGAAACTTGCCCTTCAAGTTGGCCACTTGTAATATTCTCACATGGTCTGGGCGGTAGTCGAACAGCTTACAGGTATTTCTGTATCTTCTGTATTGCGAAATTAAGATAATTACTGTGTTGCAGTCAAGTGTGCACTCGTCTTGCATCTTCGGGACGAGTGGTTCTAGCCATCCAGCACCGTGATGGCTCGGGTCACGCATTCATTTCATCGACTACCGGACCTGGACTCTACGTCAAAGAAGAGGACCTGATGTATGCATTTTGATTTTAATTCTTTCCTTGAGACAGTTAGAACTGAGCAATTTCCCCAAAGGTGGACTTCGAATGAGGAAAAACCGATGATTAATTTTCGACAGCAACAGCTGACTTTTAGGCGATATGAGATACACCTTGCATTCCGTAGTTTCAAACAATTGATTCAAGATGGATACAAAGGTTCCAGCCATGGCTTACGGTCCACAGACAAGGAATTTGTCGACTGGTCTTCGTGGTTAAGCGAAGTCGATACCAAGGCAGTCGAATGCGAAAAAGACGTCCTCCTTGCTGGACATTCATTCGGTGGTGCTACTGTTGCAAGTAAGGCATATTTACAAAATGTGCAGCGACTTATACCAGTTGTGCAGTTCACAATCCTTTCTACAGATCCTCCTGCTGGCGTCTCCGCACCCATTCCTGTTCATAAAGCCTTGATCTTGGATCCTTGGCTAGAACCGATCCCTTCCCCTGGCCCACACCCACCTCAAGGACCAGGAAATGTTTTGCCTCAGTTGCTTGTCATTAACTCTGAAAGGTTCAGCCTATGGAAGGATCATTTTGCGCGATTGATCGGCGTGGTGCAAGCTTGGGAGCCTGAGAAACGGAGAATACTGACTATCTGTGAGTTTATTCGCATTCGATTTACATCAACCATGCAGGAGTTTATATAACTTGCGCTTGTTACAGTACGCTCACAGCATGAATCATTCTCGGATTTCTCTCTCCTTCCGCTTGTGTCTCGGAGACCTGCACGCATAGTGATGGACAGGATTGTAGAATTATCAGAGGCATTCATAGATGGTAACGTAGACAAGTTTATAAACGAAATTGCGACCAGGAAGATGGAAATCTGTATAGTTGGGAAAAAGCCAGACGGTTCACCACAACGACAGCTTGTGGGTGAGGTCGGGGAGCTCATAGCCCACTGAATTAGATACGTTACCTAGCTAGCGCCCACAGATAATCAAATTGCAAATTAACTATTTACAAAAAGTTGGAGTCACTGATCTGTCATACTGGTCACCAGTCTAAGATAGTCCCACGAGTCCGTGTGTCCCAAGAGTCCGCGCATTTACTCTAGCACACGCAATTCTGCACGGAATCCTTATCCATGAAAGATCTAGATTGCCCCAAACATAATACACACTGCTACATATTTGTTTTGAAGAAAATAGAAGTAGATCTCGTTCCATGGGCAACTTATCGGTGCTGGAGGCTAGTTTTGTGTATATAAGGCTCACTCTAAAGGTCAGATCACCACATAAAATTCTGGAATATGGTACAATGCTTATATATACACGATGAGAGAATACTAAAACGAATTTCTCCGGGGCGACATGCTTGTCAGGATCATCTGCAACAAAAGAAATATGCCCCAGACGTGAAAGCGCTACTGTAAATCGAAACTCCGCAATATTAAGTACACAGCGCACGAACTCACAACACACTGTACAAACGGGCGGAGTGTGAAAAGGCATTGCGGCAGACGTGTGACATGGTGTGACAAAGTGCGCGAACTCTGAAAATGCACTTTTCTGCGCGGCAACTCTCCGCTGGACTCAACACGTCGATTTTCGAAAAAGAAACTAGCAGACCTTGTACTTTCGATGCCACGCTGTCGAACTGTCGAAGAATTATTATTTTTTGTCTGTGCGATGTGGAGTAATAAACGTTTTGCCAAAAATGCGCGGACTCCCGTGGACTCATCTAGTAGAGGGTTGCCGGTCAATTAGAGAACCCTAGTCATCACCCACCAATGGCTCCTACCAAGTCTGAGTCCGTTCCTACGGCATCAGACACTTCCATCCCCCTCTTCAAGTCTATAGGTCTCTCCCAGGCCAAAGCAGCAGAAGCGGCAAAGAACGCGAAAAGCGCCAATGTTCTTCGCAATCTGATCGTTTCATACGATCTTGCCGAAGCTCGCCTCGATGAAAAACAGGCCACCGTCATCACCGCACTTGCTGGTCAGCTAGCTAAGACGGAATCCGTAGAACTTGACGAACAAGCCTTCGCCATCAAGGCAATCTTGCAGGGCAAGCTCAAATCCGTTGATCAGGTCAATGGTGAGTTCTGTTATGCGACGTTTGTGTTTGCCAGTGACCGATTACTATGTGCAGCTGCTGTCAAGTACCTCGAGAAATTTAAAGCGCCTATTAACGAGCTTGAATTTGATACAGAGTGTGGTGTCGGTGAGATACGGTCATCATGATATAAGATCGCGATGCCGATCGAATGTTACAGGCTTCAGCATTACTTCTGAAGAGCTCCATGACGCAATCACGAGTTACATTCGCGAGAATTCCGTTACTGGCTGGCCTAACCTTGGTTCCGTTATTAGTGGAGTTAAGGCCAGCCCAGCTCTTCGATGGGCGAACCCCCTGGAAGTTAAGAACGCCGTCGAGAAGGCGTTTACTGAAACATTTGGTACGAAGGAGGCTGCGAAGCCGAAAGCTAAGGTATCCTACATTCCTTGCCACCCTCGTTTACTGCTCCTGATTACAAGGTACAGGACCCCAAGAAAGAGAAGGCTGCGCAGCCAACAGCCGCATCGGAGGCTGCTGCTGGCTCTAGTTCATCCAATAGAAAAACCGTTTTTGAAGAGGGATTCTTGGGCGCTTTGCACAAGCCAGGAGAGAACCCTCAGATCAGGCCCGAACTTCGTGAGCAGCACCTGCGCGCAACTGATGGCCAAGTCTGGACACGTTTCCCACCGGAACCAAACGGCTATCTACACATTGGCCATTCTAAGGCTATCTTCGTGAACTTCGGTTATGCTGCACACCATGGCGGGAAGTGTTATTTGCGCTTCGATGATACCAACCCAGAAAAAGAAGAGGCTAGATATTTCCAGAGCATTATCGAGGTTGTCCGATGGCTGGGATTCGAACCCTGGAAGATAACCTACTCTAGTGACTACTTCGATCAACTATACGATCTTGCTGTCGAACTCATAAAGCGCGACAAAGCTTATGTCTGCCATTGCACTCGTGAGTGTATCATTTTTCCGCTCAGGACGATTATCCGTTGAATGTGAACTGCTTTACAGAGGAGCAAATCAAAGCTGACAGGGGCGAGAAAATATCAGCTCCTAAAGCCTGCGTGCATAGATCACGGCCGATTCAAGAATCACTCGATGAGTTTAAAAAGATGACTGATGGTTATTATCGACCCAAGGAAGCCAATCTCCGGATGAAGATGGATCTGACGGACGGAAACCCTCAGATGTGGGACCTAACGGCGTACCGTGTTTTGGATGCAAGCCACCATCGCACCTTGGATAAATGGAAGATATACCCCACCTACGATTATACACACTGCCTCGTGGATAGTTTCGAGAACATCTCGTGAGCACCCTGGCGCCCTTTTCTCGTTTGCTGTTGATTGACCTACGGATTTCAGTCATTCCCTTTGTACCACGGAATTCATTGCTTCACGCCAGTCATATGAGTGGCTTTGTGATGCCCTAGACGTGTACAAACCAAGGCAATCCGAATTTGGTCGTCTTAGTCTTCAAGGGACGATCAGTTCGAAAAGAAAGATTCTCCAGCTGGTAGATGAAGGCTACGTTAGTGGATGGGACGATCCTCGTCTCTACACTCTCATTGCCCTCAGAAGGCGAGGCGTACCTCCGGGCGCGATTTTGTCATTTGTCAGCACGTTGGGTGTCTCAACGGCTGCCTCAAACATCCAAATTGCACGCTTTGAACAGACTGTGAGGCAATACCTGGAAGGAAGTGCACCGCGTCTCTTCATGGTCATGCGTCCTCTCAAAGTCATAATAGAGAACGTGCCCGACGACTACCTCGTAATGGTGGACAAACCATTCCATCCCAAGAATCCCCAGCTCGGATCTTCACAAATCCCATTCACCCGCACCATTTACATCGACGCAGACGACTTCAGGCTGGAGGACTCAAAAGATTACTTCCGCCTTGCTCCTGGAAAGAGTGTCGGTCTATTCCAAGCACCTTACCCAATTACATGTACATCGTACAAGACTGATTCAGCCTCTGGTGAGGTGACAGAGGTATTCTGTCGTCTCGAAGATTCTGGTACTCCTCCGAAACCCAAGGCATATATCCAGTGGGTCGCAGAACATGCATCTTCTGGAAGCCCTGTTTGCATCGACGAGACAAGAATATTTCACCCTCTATTCAAGAGTGATAACCCCCTAGCGGCTACCCCTGACTTCAAGGCTGATATTAACCCTAATAGCATAGAAGTCATCAAGGGTGCCATGGTGGAAGTCAGTTTCTGGCCGCTTGCAAAGCGGTATGTCGCAGACGCCCTCGAGGAGGCTCGGGCGAGATCAGCTGAAATCAAAGCAATCCCGGGTGCGGGCTCCCATGACGCACACACTCCAGAAATCACGACAGAGCAGCTTGTCGGAAAGGAGTGTGTACGATTCCAAGGTCTGCGTGTCGCGTACCTTGCAGTAGATTCAGACTCTCGCTTGGGTGCTCTAGACGAACCCTCAGATGTTACTCCTGGGATTAGGCAAGGCGATTATTTGGTGCTCAACCGCATTGCGAGTTTGAAAGAAGATGCTGGAAAGGGAATGTGAACAGTTTCTATATATGACTAGGTACAATACGACAGGGCCAACTTCATCATTAGAGCTACATAGCAGTCGGATTTGGAATAGCATGTGCAACTAATACTTGGATTGTAGACCTCGCTGCGCGCACTTATATAATGCTGCAATTAAATAGATAGGTTCATTCCAGCTTGGGGGACGATACATCATGTTGCTACCAAGGCATGGAGATTATAAATCTCTTTGCGTACGACATAGTAGATGTCGGAAACGTTACCTTCCAACTCCACTCTTCCTCGACCTGTCTTGCGTACGGCAACTGTGTCTTGTATAGAATTAGAAGATTCATCCCGCCTCGCCCCAGCGCCGCAAATCAGCACACCCTCACCAACCAATTCGGCTTGAACACCGACTGATGCCAATCGGCTTTTAAGTGCAGTCAACTTGAGTTCCCCTATCATTGTCGACCGCGGCAAAATCTGAATTGGCCGGGAGCCTAGTATTCGTGGGGCATGTAATACGTTTGCATTCGGCGTTGGTATCGTTGGTCCTGAGGGTTCCAAAATGGGTATGGTGGAGCTGAAATGGCTCGTAACGCGTCCGGTCACATAACCCACTTCGTTATCTTCAAACTACCAAACGTTGATTCAAATGGGCTCGAAGTCTGAGAAATAAACTAACCCTTGACATTTTGATAGTGCTCAGTAGCTCATCACTCAAGGATATCGAGAAACTGTTGGTGTGTTGTCCTATCTGCACCGTTTCTCCGACAGAAGGAGCGTATATATCTCTCGTCATAGATCGAATGTTCGCACAACTGTCAATGAGAGCATCGGCGGCAGCAGCCTGGGCATGGACAATGATCTACCACGAGTATCGTTAGCATATGAAATGTCAGATCGACGTAATTATTTACCATCTTTCTGGGGTTCACTTGGGGTACAATCATCTTTACTGCACGACCATCGTTGAGACCTTCCATGTCAACAAAGAGAAGTCGACAAGCAAGTTGTATTTCAACCTCTGAAGTGACGAACTTCGAGGGAGGTTCACGAGGAGCCTTGCATTAGGCTCGTCAGTTAAATGATTATTTATTACACCTGAAAACTTTACCTCAGTTTCGCCTTCAGCCTGATTTCGCCTTGCCTCCCTAGTCGCATCATCTTCTGCTTCATTTTCCAATACTTTACCTTTCCTCAGCCACATGCCAACATCAATAGTTTCGCCATATTCATCCACCCTCCGTTTCTTTTCAACGTAGGGAAACATACGGAAACGGTGGGTCTGGCCACCAGCGCTCTTGAAGAATGATGTTGCCTTGGAGACGTTTCCCTTGAGGTAAATGTCGAAGGAGAGTAGCTGTTTCGTCAATCCCTCGTCAATGTCAAGCCCCCAGTCAGCATCGTCCTCATTTTTGGTAATTTTTCGTTTTCGCGGCGAACCATTTCCAGTATTGGAGATTTCGTCGGTATCCATTTGGCTTTCGTCCAATGCGCGTTCGACTTCGTCTTCTTCATCCGAATCCGAATCTGAATCTTCGTCGCTCTCGTCTTCGTCCGCTTCCAATATGCGTTGATTACGAGCCATAGATGCTTGATGAGCAGCTTCCCTATCCTTTGCTGCCTTCTCCTTTGCAAGGAAGGCTTCTAGCTCTGCACCTTGAAGTGGAACCTTGGAGTTTATCTAGAGCAGATGAATAAGTAACGTGCTATGTAGGTACAAACCGTGCAAATCACCTTTAGAGTCATGGCTCCATCCATCATAACGTTGCTACCAATTCTACCTTTGTCCCACTTATCGTCACCTCTCTGAGAGTTATTCCATTTATCGAAAAGGATACGTCCCAGTGTGCCCTCTTCGCCGCGACTAGTCAGGAGAACCACATTATCTGGGACCACGGCGAAGTCAGAGAATAGTAGTCGTGACGGTCCATGTGAAAGCGAGGCAGGGACAGCAAGGATCAGCTTCGGCTCCTTGGATGAGTATGTCTGGAGAAGGGATTGTGGACTAGGAAAGAATTCCAGAAACCTGTACGAGTGGTTTTAGTCCATCACCTTTTGCTTTCAGATTTCACTTACTTGAAGCGCAATGCAAACGCTCCCAGCGCCTCATCATCTGCATCATCATCACCACGTCTCCTCCTGGTACCTCCCGTTCTTCCGCTTCCATCAACACCGACATCTTCTTTGCTCACTGTCCCGCCAAGCCATTCCATCATACTCCGGACGAAGGTCAACATTTCACGCCCGTTACGCGACAATAGACAGATGGGAAAGCGAAAATCAGCATACTTCCAATGCTGATCAAGTAACACCAGGAGCTCCAGAAGACGAGTACTGGAGTCACAAGGAAGTAAAAGAGAGGAACGGGACGACAGCGTTGCACTTATGGCATCTGTCCATTAATGACATCAGCACGAACGTATTCGAGCGGGATGAACTTTCAGACCTATCAAAGCAGCGTCGCGGTCCTTTCTTCGACTTGTGACGACATTCACGCGGTCGGCGTCTGTGATGAAGAGATCTGGTCGTGCAAGTGGTTCGAAGACACCACCTGCTGCGGGACGGTAGAGGACAGTGCCATCTATATGTCGCTCGCGCATATGATTCAAGTTCACAGCATAGACGATCGTTCCAGCGGAAGGCGATCTTATTTTCCATATGGTTCCCCCCAGCGTGTGCCCCGCTGCGAATGGTGTAATGGTCAAACCTTGACACTTTCCTGAAAGTCAGGAATATCAATGTTCCGCCCATGATTGCTTCATGGCTAAAAGTTACCTTGTAGATGGGTAGGCTGGGAATATCTTAAGGTGTTTACTGCGTCAAATGCTTCGTGTACCTCTTGAACGGTAGCGACAAACTTCTTGGGTTCATTCTTTGGCTTTGGCGAATGTGGCTCAGAGCTTCCCGTCCCTTCGGCAGCCGCAGATTCATTGCTTTCCTCCTCCTCAACGTCAACTTTTTGTTCGTCTCGAATTCCTTCCACATCTTCCATTGTTGCAATGCGAGCCATTGCCTGGACTGGAAGTGTGGTATAGCATGGGGCTCTGAGATCCCAGTGACAGTATGCATAGGCATACAAGCCAGAATGTACAAGGTCACCATGAGACAGCAGAACCAAGTCAACCTCTGGAGCATGCCTAGCTAATGTTTAAATCGTGCAGCTTGCATTTTAGTTGTCACTCACTTTCTCACTATGTCACAGTACTCTTGCCAAGGATAAATCTCCCCATTCCCGGACTCAGATTGAGTTTCAATATTCTCGGGATTCCAGTCAGGTGATCCACAATCGAGAAGAATACGAATATCGTCAACCTGTAGCAAGTATGCAAGTGGAACAGTTCGAGATGACCGGGCGGCACCAGAAAGAGGTGTGAATGTAATCATTTGGATTCCAGGTTAACGACAGACTTTTAAACTGCCAAACTCTTGCAAAAAGGATGACAATAAGTGGTGATGCTTAGAGAAGCGGTCGACCAAAAAGGAAGTTCTATGAGCGTTTGTTTGTTTCTAAAGGCTTTGCTCAACAACGTCCAAACATTCAATATTTATTGCCAGTGCGTGACTACTGACTGGGAGTCAACTGTGAGCGCAACGAGACGATTCTTTTGTGTCTCTTGGATGAGGGTTACTGGCATTATTCAGCAGGTCGTAAGTAGGTTGTATATCGTGTTTTACAGGTGCTATGCCTGGCTATATATCCCACGGACATTATTCAGCGCAGCAGTGTCGAGACTGCTCCGTCGACCTCCACGTTCCACTTAGCAATTGCAAGTTGCCGCAAAAGTTCTGAAAGCTCATTTCCACTCATTCTAGCTCAGGCCTCAGGCTTGGTTTATATTCCTGACGTCATTCGAAATTCCAGATTGGTCGTCTCTGACGTGTGCGGTACGGCTACTGGCACATCCTCTCACGTCTACCACGTACACGCTGGTTTGTTCTTTGAACGAAAATGACTGTCTCTACATTCTCAGCGGCAGTGCATATTACTCCAAGTACGGCGGACCGTCTTCTCTGCCCGTGCAGTCATTTATGGATCTTTAGCCGTCATCAAGACCCTCTACACTCATGGAAAACGGAAAGCGAAAAAGCTGAAGAATGGAGATGAGAAAGAAGAGGCAACTGATGACATTTTCTTTGACGAGTGCGCTTCATTACAGTCAACATTCCTACTCATTGATGTTTTCTAGAGCATTTCACATCGTTAAATCCTTCATTCTTCTTGGAACAAAGAACACTGTAGAATCTCTCCAAGCATTGTGAGATGCAATTTATATTCATCAGGTCCTCCATTAAGTATGATCTTCTGTGATCAGTACAATACAATACTCATGTGCCTGCTCCACCTTGGACTGCTGTTATTCCCTGTGCATGTCCCATTGCATTCATGCAACCAGGCGGCAGACCTTTTGATACAATGGTTTGGGCCCGAAGACCTCAAACGTGTTGTTGGAGGTGAAAGATGGTGGCAAGTCCGTGGTTTAGACGGTATTGATGCTGAGTGGATTGCTGAGAAGTCGCACTTGCGGCCCGAGAGTGATCACATAGATGCTGGGAGGAAATACAGTGAAGAGGAAAGACTTCTAATGTCGATGGAGCAATTAGAGACCACGATGGTGAGTTATCTGGTTTTGTTTGACACATTCCCTGACCACCTTCACTGAAGCTTTACATTCATGGAGGCGGATACTATTGGGGGTCCATCAGTGAACATCAATCCACCTTGTACATACCTTCAGACTTACCCTGGTTTTTAGATACCCATCGTTATCAAATCATCAAATACGGTATGTTCACGCAAGTTCCTGGCATATTTCCTTATTCTTTGCAAGCACATAAAATTCGGGGGCGTGCATTTACCGTCAACTATCGGTAAGTGTCAACATTTTTCATTGTGATCATGTTATATATAGTCTTTTCTGTCTAGGAAGGCACCACAATACCCATGGCCATGCCCCCTACATGATGTCCTCGCAGCATGTGAGTTCATCACTATCTTTGAAATTGAAATCGCGAGGACCAATTTTCCCCATACGAAGATCTCTACTTGATTCAGCCACCTCATGATGCTGCCCATAAACCCATTCCTCCTTCAAAAATCGTCTTCGCCGGCGATTCGGCAGGTGGCGCACTATGTCTCGCAATGCTCACTGTACTGCGAGATTTGGGTCAACCGTTACCAGCGGGAGCGGTGCTCATCAGCCCGTGGGTAGATCTAACACACAGTTTTCCTAGTATTCATACAAACACAGCTACGGCGAGTTTTGACCACGACGCAGGATGTTCCTTTCTGATTCGGCTAGTAGGACATCATACCTCCTCATGGATTCATGAACAAACCCTCTGTATTGTGGCCGGTGGATCCAATCAAGGAAGGCGGTCGCGTCGCCACTCCGATCCACTGCTGAATCCATGCCGTGCGGATATTCCTGGTTCTGATAAACATGTTACAAGACACACTGCCCAGGTTCTGCCCACTGACGCTGAGAAGAAATCTGATTCTACGCCTGTTGGTTCCAAGCACCAATTATTAAGCAATTCTGCATCAAGCATTCCCCTGAAATCCCAGCAGAAAACATCATTGTTTGACGGAGGGAAGTGTGATCTCACTGGCGGAGGGCACGGGCGAAGCCGGGACCAAAACAGAAACCCAAGTAAACCGATACCTATGGATGAGCTTGCTGTAAACAGGGGTTCGGTGTCAATTCCTGATCTAGATGACATTGATTTTTGGCAGCCCAACCCCCCGAAGGTGCTCATGAAAAATCCTGGAGATGTTCCACTGGAAATACGGTCCCAGATACAGTACTATGCTATGACAGAGTGAGACACCTCCATTCCATTCTTACATTCATTGACGGTCAATGTCCGCGAAGGCAATTGTCGCATCCTCTAGTCTCGCCTATTCTCCAAGCCTCCTTAGGCAACCTCTGCCCGTTGTATATCTTGGCAGGCGATGGAGAAGTGCTTCGCGACGAAATAACATATCTGACGCACAAGGCAGCCAATCCAGCAGAGTACCCTGTACGGGAGGGTGTAATTAGAGACGGATTGAGGCAGAAAGAGAATGCGCATAAATTTTCTACGCCCACCAAAGTCCATCTGCAAGTGTATGATGGTACACTGCTTCTCTTCGTTCGAGACCGTCTGTTAAAACAAATGTTCCAGGAATGTGTCATGTTTTGACAGTCTTCACCTTCACCAGCAGTGTGAGATAGTTATGATCTTATGTTTCAGTTGCTGACGAATCGAATAGGCTGACTATGCTTACAATTCTATTGCGGAATTTGCGAAACATGTCACCCAACGTTCGGCAGAGTACCTTGACCGATATCCGTTTCTCGTTCTGCAGCCGATACCCGGATCTGATGTACCATCGTGCGCCATGAATGACCGATCGGTGAGAATTCACTTGGCGGCTCTTCTGTCACTGAAATGCTCACCTTTGACAGGGTGACATATTGATGATTCGTGAACGTGTAGACATCCACGGTCGAGTTCGCTCCATGGAACCGAAAGAAGATATTGCAGCTTTACAACTGAGGCCATCAGAGATCGGCATCATCAAGGAAGAGACTCTTTTCAAGTGGCTGGAAGGCCAAGAGGAGTGGGACAGGCGTTTCAAGTATTGCGCAACCAAGGTAATGAAGAACAGGAAAACAATTGAAGCGAAGGCCAAGTCGATTATCAAGAAAGCAAGGCAACGAGGCCTCTCGCTGGCGGGAGAGAGCGATGATCTTGTCGAGATGCCAATAGTCGGGAGATCGAGTGCTGTGTATGGGGCTATTCAAGAGGATAGAAGATGGGGGCCGTTAGACCTGGTGGACGAACAGCCACCACCTACAGCGATTGCTGCAAGACGAGACACAGTGAGCGAGCTTGGTTATTAAAATTCTAGGTGTTTACCGAGCAGCTATAGCGAGAAGCGCTTGCTCTGCTTAAGAAGAAGCATTTATCACACGGCGCCAGCAACCCACAAGACTATTCCGAGAGTGAAAACAGTGGACGTTGTTCTCGCTGCTTTTGATCCCAATGATGTCCCCATTCCGACATCCTAGACAGTCGGTTTCAGAGCAGCAGGTGCGAACTGGAATGCGATATATTCACGGTATGCGAATGTGGCAGTCCATTGTGAGGTAAGTTGACGTTCAAATTTGCCCATGATAGTATACTAATGTAGCTCCAGTCGCTCTGGGCGTAAGGTTGCCGTGAAAGCTGCGGAAGACACGCGCCGCGTAGGAGATGCACTTATGGAGACTGGCGATAAGGCTGCTAGTAATGTGAACTTAGCCGCAGTAGGCAGTTGAGAAGAGTGCAGGGTTTGGTGATCATATTGAGTAATTATTAACAGCGGACGTTTGTACTGGTCTGTAAAGACTAATTATCGGAACTACATAGAGGGACAACACATGTTCGCCAAACTCCCATAGAGAACCGTCTTATTGACGTACTGATGGTGAGGCGTGAGAACGATTGGCTTAAGTAAGCGCCATGTGTTTGTTGCACTTTTAACCCTGCGCCCTTTGATCTGGACCATCACCCCATCCTCGCATCCCGTCTAAACCAGTAAGCTTTTTAGACGCGTCTTTCCGTGTCGCATGATTGCTGATATACAATCATCCTACTTTGTAGCCTAAATTTTCCAGAAATAATGCGCGAAGTCATCTCTGTCCACGTCGGCCAAGCCGGTGTTCAAATCGGAAATGCCTGTTGTAAGTGTTCCGCCACTTTTGACATGTGCAATCGCCCTTGTTATTCTTATTTTAACATTCGTCGCGTGCCAGACGCATGCAATTCGCTTCTGATTTGACTCTATTAAGTTCTGATTGTTAATTATGTATATTTACAGGGGAACTGTACACCGTTGAACACGGTCTCAGCGTGATTATTTTTCCTGCGGACCCCTTGCGCTTTCACTCAAAAATTTGATTATAGCCTGATGGTCGTCTTGTCGAAGGATCTCCTTCTGCTAACGATGATGGCTTCAGCACTTTCTTCTCGGAGACGTCCTCGGGCAAGCACGTTCCGCGGTCACTTTACATCGACCTGGAGCCGAATGTGATCGATGAGGTCAGAACAGGCACTTACAGGAGTCTCTTCCACCCAGAGACCCTCGTTACTGGCAAGGAAGATGCCGCCAGCAATTGTGAGTCCATCAGTATCGTTTTAAAATATAGCTATATTTAGTGTGCTTTAGACGCCCGTGGTCACTACACTATCGGCAAGGAACAGATCGACGTTGTTATGGACAAGGTTCGCCGTCTTGCAGACAACTGCAATGGTCTGCAAGGCTTCTTTGTGTTCCACTCCTTCGGTGGTGGAACGGGATCTGGTTTTGGTGCTCTTATCTTGGAGCGCTTGTCAACTGATTACGGCAAAAAGTCAAAGCTCGAGTTCAGCGTATACCCCGCTCCAACAATGGCTAACTCTGTGGTTGAACCTTATAACTCGGTGTTGACGACACACACTACCCTTGAGCACTCCGATTGCTCATTCATGGTGCGTTCGCGTGTTTTTGTATTACATTCTCTTACCCTGGATTTAGGTGGACAACGAGGCAATTTACGACATCTGCAAAAAGAACCTCAACATCTCATCTCCTGGCTTCACGAACCTGAACCGATTGATCGCACAAGTCGTTTCATCTATAACGGCATCTTTGCGCTTTGATGGCTCGTTGAATGTTGATTTGAATGAGTTCCAGACCAACCTTGTTCCGTGAGTTCAATTACTGTCAATATCACAAGTTTACATTCTAATCCCCCTGTCAGTTTCCCGCGCATTCATTTCCCTCTTGCCACCTTTGCACCCATCATTTCAGCGGAGAAAGCACACCATGAGCAGAACTCTGTTGCTGATATGACCTTCTCGTGCTTTGAAACGGGTAGCCAGATGGTGAAGTGTGATCCCAGGGAGGGCAAATACAGTAAGAGTCACTCTTGATTGCGGGTCCTGTTTTGCTTATGCGGCTATAGTGGCCTGTGCTCTCCTCTACCGTGGTGATGTCGTGCCCAAGGATGTTAACGCAGCTGTCAGTGTCATCAAGACGAGGCGCACGATTCAATTTGTTGATTGGTGCCCTACCGGTTTCAAACTTGGTATCTGCAATGAGCCACCTGCTCACATTCCTGGTGGAGACCTTGCCAAAGTTTCTCGTAGCATGTGCATGTTGTCAAACACCACTGCCATCTCAACCGCATGGAGTCGTCTCGACCACAAATTCGACCTTCTGTACTCGAAACGCGCATTTGTTCACTGGTATGTTGGTGAAGGTATGGAGGAGGGTGAGTTCTCGGAAGCTCGCGAGGATCTTGCTGCTCTCGAAAAAGACTATGAGGAAGTCGGCATCGACTCGGCTGATGTTGAGGAAGCTGGCGAATACTAGATGCATTCAGTCATCCTTTGGTCCTCATTCTCGGAAGTTTGTTCCTGCCATAATTTCTTTACCATTGCCATTGCCATCACGATTTACGTATACCGTCCATTATATCCCGCTTGTCCTCGAGGTTTTTTACGCACTTTAACTGGAACATGAATTACGAATATCTCTCATCGGATGCAATGCGGGAAGCCTATCAAGCGCCGGAGGGTCCGTGTTGTCTCCGTAATATTTCCAAATTGAGAAGTTCTTTCCAAGAAATTTTGAACACTTGAAGTAGAAACGTTTCGGCACTTCTGTTCCCTCCCGTCACGACAAACCGGTATACCAGTCATCAGCTCTTTTTAACGATTCATCATGCGCGAAGTCATCTCTCTTCATGTTGGTCAGGCTGGTGTTCAGATTGGCAATGCCTGCTGTGAGTGCCCTTTGCGCGTCATAAGGATCGTCGTCTTAACTTTCGACCAGGGGAGTTGTACACCCTAGAACACGGCTTGAGCGTAAGTTCGCGCCATGTTCCAAGCACACCATTGTCTAATATTTTACATAGCCTGACGGTCGCGTCCTTGATGAAGCTCACAAGACTGACGCCGGGTTCTCTACGTTCTTCTCCGAGACTGGTTCAGGGAAACACGTTCCTCGCTCTCTTTACATTGATCTGGAACCCGGAGTCGTAGATGAAGTCAAGACCGGTCCTTACAGATCTCTCTTCCACCCCGAGACCATGATTACGGGCAAGGAGGACGCAGCAAACAATTGTAGGTCGCAGAACAAGTTGCATATCCATTATGGGCAGCTCATGACTGTGCGCATTCAGATGCTCGTGGACATTACACAGTCGGAAAAGAATTGATCGACCCAGTCATGGATAAAATTCGTCGCTTGGCTGACAACTGTTCAGGATTACAAGGATTTTTCGTGTTCCACTCGTTTGGCGGAGGTACTGGGTCTGGATTTGGTGCCCTGCTGTTGGAACGACTTTCTACGGATTATGGAAAAAAGTCCAAGCTTGAGTTCTGCGTTTATCCTGCACCTCAACTGTCGAGTTCGATAGTCGAACCCTACAACTCAATTCTGACCACCCATACAACTCTTGAACATTCTGATTGTTCGTTTATGGTTAGTTTTTTCATCCATCTTTTGTGCTACTGTGTTCACTAGGCTGTGCAGGTCGACAACGAGGCTATATATGATATCTGCAAGAAAAATCTTGGTGTCTCTCAGCCCAGCTTCACCAATCTTAATCGCTTGATTGCTCAAGTTGTCTCATCGATCACTGCTTCGCTTCGCTTTGATGGTTCATTGAACGTTGACCTTAATGAATTCCAAACCAACCTTGTTCCGTGAGCATCATCGCGTTCTCCATGGCAAAACAAGTTGTTGAACAATTAACAGCTTCCCTCGGATCCATTTCCCATTAGCAACATATGCCCCACTTCTGTCCGCCGAGAAGGCGACTCACGAACAAAACTCTGTCAGTGAAATGACCTTCTCTTGCTTTGAGACTGGACATCAGATGGTATGATCACACCATACTTCGAGTCATGATTTGCTCACGTGATTTCAGGTGAAATGTGACCCCAAAGACGGAAAATACAGTATGTGTGTCTTGGCTCTTTTACGCGCCTCTCTAATCTTTGAACAGTGGCTTGCGCTCTACTTTATCGTGGTGATGTCGTACCGAAGGATGTTCAGGCTGCTGTCGCCAGTATCAAGACCAAGCGAACCATCCAGTTCGTCGATTGGTGCCCGACTGGCTTCAAGGTGTGTGCTTAGCTTGGCTTTGATAAGCTCGACTGATGAGTCCCTTTAGCTGGGCATTTGCAACGAGCCTGCCGCTGCGGTCCCAGGTGGTGACCTTGCTAAGAATACCCGCAGTCTCTGCATGCTTTCAAAGTGGGACTATGCGCTATGTGGTATAGACTGCTGCTAATTTATTCTCGTATAGCACGACGGCTATCTCTGTCGCTTGGAGTCGGCTAGGTGATCCTTCCCAATATTCTTTGCTCGAGTGGGACACTAACGATGGTTTCCAGATTACAAATTTGACCTCATGTACTCCAAGCGCGCATTCGTTCACTGGTATGTTGGCGAGGGTATGGAGGAGGTATGTACATCGTTCAACCTGTCCTCGGCTTGTTCATACTTCGTTACAGGGAGAGTTCTCAGAGGCTCGTGAGGATTTGGCAGCACTGGAGAAGGACTATGAGGAAGTTGGTACCGACTCTGCAGATGTTGAAGAGGAGGGCGAATATTAGATGGTCTATCATTTTGGGAAGAACGACCACATATTCTTCTTCCTAATATTTTCTTTTCTTGTTGCACTGTTTCCATCGCTTTCGCGCGTCTTCCTGATATTTCTTCCGTCCTTCTATCCGGGACATTCTTCCATCCAAAAGGATCTAACATATCATCATATTCGCTTTTCAGCTCGCATACTTGATAGCACATGATTTTCTACATGGTGGAACAGAATGTAATTCCCTGAAACATTCAAGAAGTGATGCAAGAGCTCATAAATGCCCACAAAGAACCAGGACTAGTCTAAAAGGCTCATTCGGCCAACATCAGGTTTGATATCATACATCGTATAGTTCGATTGCACGAAATTTGATCAATGCGCAACTAACTGCGACCATGAGCCCCAGCGCCACTTGTCGTGTGATCCTGGCGATGAAGGTCAACATGCTCCAAGCGCCATCGCGGAGGCATCCTCAATCTACCATGAGACCAGCACGAGTAATAGCATAAGAATGCCTTGCACCAATGCACATCTGGCAGTGAGTCAATGTCAGACGACTCGGGCAATGGGTCGTTTGCCGTCGTGTTCTGAGACACACCAGGCTGCGCTCCAGGCAAATGCCGGGTGTCATTGACTTTCTTGTATTCCGGCAGTTTGGCGGCGGCAAGACGCTGGGGCATCAATCAGCGAGAACAATCAAAAGTGTAAAAAGAACCACATTACAGTGAATTTACGTCCGGCTGCGACTTCAACCTCTTGTGGCTCTTGGCTGGATCTTGACCTACGGAAGGAAGTACGCTGTCGCAGAAATTGCGAGAATCGGTTCCAGCGTTGTGAACGCTCCTCTTCGGGCTGTCCTTGTTGCAACTGCCTGCGAAATGGGAGACGGTTGACGAGGTTCTTGATGAGGGAGTGCAGTGTGGGGTTCTGTGAACCTCCATCCGCGGATCGGCGGGGTGGATAAGTTGTTTCAACCTAGACATTCAACTCAGTCATGCATTGAGTTGATTCAACGCGAGGACTGACATCATCAAAGAACCCGCGCGGAATTCCAGTACGTACTGGTCGCGACTCTAAACGCGGAATGATTTCCTGTGGAAGTAAAATTAGGAATAATACATGAGTGCAAACACTGAATATTACATACAATTGGTATGGATGGACGAGGGCGTCGGCGGTCATCCTGTACGTCGTCAATAGTCAGCGTGTACGAGGATACGTGTAGGGGAAAGGGAACCTTTTGGGACTGCAACGCAGGTTAGCATTGACATTACATGACTAGTGGATAAATTTTTCACCTGTTTGACCTCCTTATCTGAATCGCTTTGAGGCACTGTCCATACGCGAAGAAGCGTGTCGTCACAACCAGTTGCGACAAGCTGACTATCTTCGGAAAAAGCCACGCAATATACGGCATCAGGATGCTTCAATGGCTCGCCAATAGGTTCGAACGTAGTCAGGTCAAAGAACCGCGTCGTGCTGTCAATCGACGTGCTAGCAACTTTGGTACCATCGGGAGCAATGGCTAGTGATTGAAAGAGTTCAGTGTGTGCTTCAAACTGGTTGATAATGTCTCCGGTTGCAGCATCTGAGATTCGGATGTCGTGAACGCATCCGCTGATCAGACGGAGACCGTCTGGAGTAAATGCGACAACCACTGCCTGTTGTTCTATTTTGAGGAGTTCTTTTCCATTGAATGCATTCCAAATCATAATATGCTCCCCAGTTCCTGCTGCTAGCCTGCTCCCATCGAAGGAGTATGACACCGACCACGCATTACTGCCCACCTGGAGTGGTCCAAGGGCAATTTTCCCTGTTTCCCTCAGCCAAACGCATACCGTTTCGTCATTCGATGCACTTGCGAATTTTTTGTTGTCCGGCGCAAAGACGACGCTCGAAAACCCACTTCTTATGTCCCTTGAACGAGACGGACACACATTTTTTCGTCGCCACTTCCCAGACCAGGATGGTTCCGTCCATCGCTCCACTCACGATCCAACGCCCATTAGGAGATGCTGCAACCGTCCAGACTCCGCTGTCGTGACCCAACAAGGGCTTCCCAACTTGTTGCCCCTTGACTAGATCCCACAGTCGAAGAGTTTTATCAGGCGGGGCAGTGACGAGGAGATGAGTTCTAGGGATGACAGCCACACCATGTACCCAATCTTCATGACCTTCGAGCGTCAATTTAGCCTGAGGTTTTTCCTTTCTAGTGGGCGGGGCAGGCGCCTGAAAGACTGCATGGTCTTCGTGAATGTGGGATGACATCGAATCTCTCTCTGTCAGAAAAACATGTCTGCGAATCCCATTTCATGATTCAGCCTCGTGATCAGAATTCTCGGATCCACCCTACCGCCCCTAAGCGCTAAGCGCCTTTGTCAATTCAGGTTGTCCCCGATGGTGTGAAACTTCTAGAAAGTTTTCCTTAACCTATTCCGGTAGCAGGGTTACATCCGCCTTGTAAACTCTATTTCATCCGTGAAATGCATCTAATCTATGTTGACCACAACATCTATCCCACCATTTGCTCCCATCTTCATCGACACACTACAATAACGAAGAAAGTTGAATACACCGTGTATTTCTAACAGTTGCCGCGCACCTAGACAAGTTTTCAACTAAATATGTTGGACGTTTAACTTCCATCTGTTCCTTGGTGTGCGATGTGGTCAATCCAATCACAGCACACCCAGCGGCAAGACCACTTGCTACGCCTGATGGAGCATCTTCTACGACCAGACCTATAGGACGGGTTAATGTCCTCAACATTGTTTTGACACGATCACTGACACTTTCCCGGCGAAACTCTACATTTCTGTGCACCAAGAAGATATGGGTCAGGGCTGGTGAAGGTGTTCAGTCAGTTCTGAATGGCTCAACGAATGACACTATTCCGCACTAAGGTTTCCCTTGTGTAACATCTTCAGCAGTCACAAAGGCATCTGGGATCGGGATTCCAGCAATCTCTAGAGCAGCTGATGCATAAGCACGGGTTGCAGATGTGACAATGGCCCAACATGGTTTGGGATTTTTCTTTCCGGGAGCAAGCTTTGTAGTGATCAGCAATTAAGCGCAAGGAAAGTAATATGTAACTCACTTCATCTATGATGGGGCGAACTCCAGGTAAAAGGGTGATGCCCTTTCTGCCATTGGCTGTGGAGGAGGTTACGATGGCCTCTTCGAACCGTGCAGCCTCTTTCTGTTGGTAGACATCAATATCACGCGTGAATTCACTGAGAAATTGATAACCTCGAGCTCCGCTTCAGACGTAAGCCCACAGTACTTCCTCAGATTGTCAACAGTCCTAACACCATGTGCACCTAATTGTGAAGAGAAGCAACTCACGAACGGAAGATCCCGCCTGAGAGTTACTCACTGTTCAGGATCTCTTGAATATCTAAGCCGGAATATGTCTCGGCAAACGTCTCCCAGGCTCCGATCACGCCTGCTGTCGAATCTACCAGGGTACCGTCCATATCAAACAAGCTGTGATACTGCTCAGATTTGCCTCCTGGACAATACAACTTTGACTTACACGGCATCCACGTGGAAAGTGATAGCGCCCATGTTTCTTTTTAAAATATAAGATGATGATAGAGTTCAAGGAATGAGTCAAAGTTCGTGGTGAGCGTGCTTCACGCTGCTGATCAACTGCATTACCACCCTGGAATATCAGATATGATCATTGACCCCAAAATTAATTGATCCCTGGGTCTCGGCTAGACTTCGGCCGAGCTTACCGTGGGGGAGATAATGGTTGGTTGGTTGACCTGCCGTCGAGTGTTATTGTCATGTGGCACACACGAACCAACCATCATCTTGTCGATGTCGTGCCAGTGAACCTTGTTTGGCTCCATTGTCTTGATGCGCTGGCATAGCACAAAGAACCTTTTTTGCTAAGTTGTTCTACGAGACACGATACTGCTCGTGGTCGGCGCAGGAGTGAATAGGTTTTCAGTAACAGCCTGACTAGGAGTGCGGGAGCGTTTGGATTGGATGACACTGGGGTTTAGTAACAGACAATTTGTCTGTGAGCACACTCGTAGTACAGTCACAATCACCCATCTCGCGGTCTCATATCGTCCCCGGTATGGATGTGTGCCACTAAACCTCTAGAGGCAGAGCTTAGACCTGACGTCCGCGTCACGGTGGTGCTGGTTAAACCCGTTCAACGGACTTGTTTGTATCAGAGGCTCAGGCTGATGCCAAACAAACACCTGCAGCCCTGCATCCAAATTTTGATATTCTATTGACAGTTGCAACCATGGCTCCTCAAAGGCGTCCACAATATACCCAAGAGAACATCGACCAGCAGCTGCAACAAATACATCTTCTTGATCCATCCTCGTCTTCCGAGAACCTTGAACAACTCGGACCTATCATCAAGCAAATTCATGCGAACCGTCAGCAGGAAGCATACTTGCGCAATCTTCAGGCTCTTATTGCAACAAAAGACAGCGAGATCGAGCAGATATGCACGGACAATTACCAAGAATTTATCTCCTCCGCTTCGACTCTTTTCACAGTCAAGTCATATACCAACAACCTCAGGGACAAGATCACAACTTTGGACGCCAGCGTATCTCAAGTTGGTCGAGGCTTGGTAGAGAAGAAAAGGACTTTACTGCAGTCCAAGAAGACGGCAGCCAAACTTGATGAAGCAATTGATACCCTGCAAGCTTGTTTGAAAGTTCTGGACGTTGTGAATCGAATCGGCGAATTGATCAAGGAGGGGAAGTATTGGAGTGCCCTGCGGGTATGTAACGTCACTCCTGTGGCCCTTGAAGTAACTGAAAGGAACCAATAGTCACTGGAAGACATACAAAGTCTGCCTTCGAATTCGCTGTCCCAGACGCCATTCTACCAGCATCTGCTGTCCTCTCTGCCTTCACTGCGGATTCAAATCCAGAATGCAGTCACAGCTTCTATGAAGCAATGGTTACTGGAGATTCGGAATGTCAGTGGGCTAGTTGGTAAATTGGCATTAGAAGCAATGGACTACCGGACGCGCAAGTGGAGATCACGTCGGGAGAAAGATCCTATGCTGAGGTTGAGTCGTGTTGGAAGCGCAGTAGAAATGGTGATCCAAGAGCGGTCCGATAGTGAGCTCTATCCTTGCCCTCAATTCATTCGGTCGATTAACATCCTGCTGTTAGTTAATGTTCTCGACAGCGAGAAATTAAAGGTTGATTTCACGCCCCTTTACCAATGCATACATATCTACACGACGCTGGATTCAATTGATGACTTGCGAAGA